TGCATACTGTTTTTCATCATGCTACAGCTTCAAATGTACACTTAACAATGAGTAGTTACACATGTAGGGCTTAGGCGCTTCATAGATTTAGTTCAGTTAGAACACTTTAACATAATGTCTAATTTCAACTTTATGAAACAGTTGCATAAGTTTCCGTTTTAACTCTGAAAATCTTTTACCATGTCAGCATGACTAACACTGACTCATTTTGTAGTGCTGATAACTAGGATCGCATAATGTTAACAAGTGTGGTCATTTTCAAGATCCTGGCATACAATCATCAAGAAATCACATAAGTATTAACAACTGAGCATACTGTCAATAGGGCTGGTATACACCGATGCATCACGATACATTGAAGTTTGATACAGCTATCGTATCGTGGACTGGTGTATCGATACAAAACGATACACAACTTTTTTTTCAAAACAGTGTTATCTTGTAAATGTTACAGTACTTATTTAGAGCAAAATACGCAAGTATGAAGGAGTTACTTGTTTGTTTATTACAATAGTGTTATTGTTATACACAAATACCTTGAAAAAAGTCATTTTAAATCTTGATACCATGTCATTTTTTCAAGGTGTATATATCGTGATACGTATCGTATCGCAGGTAAAATATCGCGATATGTATCGTATCGTGACACAATGTATCGTCCCAGCCCTAACTGTCAATATCTGGTATAACCTGCACCAACTTCCCTAACCATCCTCGTCATTGACTGTATCAGACGTTGAATTTGACGTTGAGTTATTGCATTCCATTCTTGATGGAAGGATTGTTCCAATACATAAGTGAGTGAGTGAGTTAAAATTAAGTCACATCGGCAGTATTTCAGCCATATTGTGACTTTGAAAGTTGTAAATTCGTAAATGTATGAATGAATAAAGACTTGGTACTGGAGGATCTCTTTGGTGTATTCTGCAATCCATAATGTCCAAATAGGCTCTATGGGGTTGAGACCTGGACTTGGTAGAGCTGGGACTGTATCCTGGCATAAGAAATCACCAACGACACATGCACGATGTGGCCTTGCATTGTGGTCCATGAAAACTGGGCTGTGTTCAGAGGATGGTCATCAAATTGTGGTACATCAACCTCGTCTTGGACGTCCATGATGTACGTTGTCAATTAATGTCTGAGTATTACAAGGTCAAATGAACAGTCATGGTAGATGTGCATCCACACTATCGATGAACCCCAAACATCACAAGATACAAACTCCAAGATATTCTGTTGTGCATATAGTGATATACAGTGTTTCTGCGGTGCCAAACATGAGCTCAGACATCAGTCATGAGAAGAGAAACCAACCTTCATCTAGGGTGAAACGGTATACCATGGAATTAGTAGAACCACAGGATGTTGCCTTCAGTTTACCGTAATGCAATCCAAAAATTCAGTATTTTCCGGTTTTCGCACCATCATTTCTATCTTGTCATAAAATGACAGTATTGTTCATTCAAAGTAAGGAAGATTATGGTTAGTATTTTTCAATGCTATTAAATAACATGCGGTTTGGCTCTTCTTGTCAATTTTCTGCACTATGATCATATCTCATATACCGACCGAAAAGGCCTTGTACCGTAATACGTACTGTAACTGTAACGTGGTAAGAGCGTACTTGTTCATCCCTACCTTCCCTACCCAGTGGGGTGAGATGGCCATATGACTGTTAACCTTCTGCCAAACAGATCAGCTTGACCGGAGTAAAGATGTAAGCACTTTGAGCACATACCGTATATGTGGATGTTTGCGCAATAATAGAACACACATCATTATTATTATCATTCTTGATTCAGGCAATTTCGGGCCACTCTGTTGGACAACAATGTGATATACACAGTTTTTAACTGTATCCTTCCTAGTAGTTGTCACTCATGGTTAACCTCAATGAGGTTCCTTCATGTCATTAGTCTGCTGATGTTTCCTGGCCAATCTGCTGACAGTTGATAGATGACAAACAACATCTCTTGCAATAGCCCTAAATAACATGACAGCATTCTGCATATCAATAACTTGCCATCTTTGATCAGTTGTCAGTTGAGGCGGTCCCATATTTGCTTATCAACAAGGAAATCAATTACTTTTCCAAGTTAACGAGCTGTAAGAACAGTTTACTGAAACTTGATATTTGCTTAATGATGGGTACACCTCCTGTTGTGATGCTCGCCTTTGATTGAAGCACATGCACATCTAAAATCAATGTATGGTGGGCCCAAAGTGTCAAAATAATCACACAAACAAACACAATGACGATGTGAATATGAATTGCTCTTTGGGGTTATATCATTGGTGTTGCAAAACTTTGTCCATGTGTATATAATGAATTTGACTATTATGTGGTCACTGATAGTTGTTGAAACAATTTACATTGTGAACATGGTGAAAACACATCAAAGCCTGTACTTTGCTGTTGTTTCACTGAAATTAATGAGTAATACATCAAATCATCACTTATTGCATTCATTGTTCGTGATGTGTATCACATTCGCCTCAGTGTGGATTTGTGGCAGCCCTATCATTAACTGATTACTATTTCATTAAAATTCTTAAACTATGTTAATCAACGTGGACTTTAATTTCACTATCACACGCCAGATTTCATTACTTGGAACACACTTCAACAACAGTTACAAAACATTCAGGTAAATTCAATAAATTCAACACAAAAAATGCAGTTCCAAACCTTAATTTGGAAAGAATAGATATGTAAAAGGAAAGAATTTAAGCTATTTTTTTACAAACTATGAGTTACTGAGTTGGGTAAACATGCTTTAACAGTACTCCAATTTTAATATGACATTTCTGCTTAATGTAAGAGTGAGTGAGTGAGTTTAGTTTTATGCCGCACTCAGCAATATTCCAGCTATAAGTCTGGACCAGACAATCCAGTGATCAACAGCATGAGCATCGACAATTGGGAACCGATGACATTTGTCAACCAAGTCAGCTTAAACTGAGCATCGCCTCTTCGACGACAAGATAGTCGCCCTGTTATGGCAAGCACATGGGTTGCTGAAGACCTATTCTACCCGGGATCTTCACAGGTCTCTTAATGTAAGAAGAAAGCCTCAAATAATGCAGGCATCTGACATTTGCCACTTCGGTGAAACCAGCGAGCATCGGTACAAAGCTGATGAATCTAGAAACACAATCGCAGCCAACCGGGATTCAAACCCAAGTGTCTGGGATGTGCAAGGGTTTCCTTTCGACAACTGGAACACCCACGCCCTTTCCCTGCCCAACAGTGAATATTATATACATGCATCTGTTCTGATGAATTCATTCTGATTCAACAGGTGGCAGATTTCAGCTGATTCAGATAAAGCAATAAAAAGAAATATATGCCCACAACACAAAACAAGCCCCAAACAATCCTGTTTCATTTCCTATGTTGTTATTATTATTATCAATATTCAACGAAACCAGGTATTTTTTTAGAAGACATTATCAGTTACGGTACTCTGCGGGGAAAAGTCACAGACTTGAACAGGTTATCTTAAATTATGATCATATTCTTTTTTCACGCTTCAAAATCATAACTTCATGTAGTTCGCAAATTCCTATCACAGTATCCTACCAATAGAACAATACAGCTAACTGTTCACCCAGCCGAGACAAGTTATTTCCTGTTTCTTTATCATTTGTTACCTTGCATACCTATTAACCCAAAGCTTTCATGTGCATTGCCTGTCAGGGGTATTTGTTACATAGCCTGCTGGGTTGGTTTTGTCATATGACCGCTGCACTTGTCTAAAGATATCGGGATCTGGAGTTGCCCATTCATTGTCTTTCTTGTGCAAATAATAAACACACCCTGCCAGCCACAGCCTCAGGCATATCACATTTACTTAAGATGTATCTATTTTTAGACAGCATGTGAATCTACCTAAATTCAGTGAAGTACCAAACCCATGCTGCCAGTTCAAGAGAGGAATGACAAAGAGCAATTTTCATGAAATTAACTTGTAATGCAATACTATTTCAGTAAATTCCTGATTTAATATTCACTGGCTCAATGCCTGCTTCATGATATATTGATCAGTATTTGTCAGTGTGAATAATCACCAGTCTGGTGAAACACAGGAATAACATTTTCTTAACTGCTATTCTTATTCATGTTGTAACTATAATAGCCCAAACTGTGAGCATGTACCTAAACAGAGGACAGGTATTCAAATTATTATAATAAATAATGTCAACTTGGCAGCTAAGTAGTTCATCCACAACCACAATATTGATTATTTCTACTTCTGCTGGCTGTTTAATAAATTTTCCTGAGGTTTATTTAATCATTCAAATTTGATTAAGGAAATTCCCTTTCTTGATAGCCCTACACGCCAGTAATATATTTTGCTAAAAGTATTGGTTCTCCTCATTGAATATCAATTAATTTAAGACCCCAGTACTAAACCGGTGTATACATAATGCACCAGCTGACGGAGTGGGAGGGGCAGATTGCAAGACTTACTGTACAGTCAGTAGTCCTCAGTGAGCCAGCGACAGAGGCGGTAATTCCAAGTCGGTCTACTCTCTGAGATGTCAACTCTCAATGTGTCGCCAATACAACCAGGCTGAGCAGAATTCTCAGGTCTGTCGGCAATCCACGACCCGACCTCGAAAGCACGTTTCGTTTAATGCACGCATCGAGCCATGATCTGAAATCTGCCCGAACAGGCTAGCCTAGATAACGTGCCTTGCACTTCCAGCCGCTCGCGAGCCGTGCTTGCACATGCTACGTGCTCTCGACGTGAGTCGATTCGCGCTGAGCTCAAAATAGACAGGTTTTAGAGAAATGCAGCGGCAAGAAAACTGCTTACTTATGCAGTCATTAGTCTCTGAGGTATTCACAAAGTCACGCATATATCCCTGGAATGTGTCACGCTGCCATCACGTCACGCGCGCACGCGTAATGGAGTGCATGCATGCTAAAATAGTTCACGCCCAACTGGTTAACTCGGTGGTTGACACAAATAAACACAAAATACACTTACTTGAGATGTGTTGAGGCTTCGATTGTTTTCTCCTCGACATCTTAGACATATCAGCTTTAGTACTGCATCAATGTTGTTTGTAAACAAAACCGTTTTCCGGAGCATAAACATTGAAATGTGTGAGGCCCCAGACTTCCCGTTCCTTCTCCCTCCATGTTGAGCGCTGAATGCTGGGATAGGCACGTGCTGTGTGCGCGAGGTGAGTTCGCTTTGCGTGAGAACGTGCAAAGAGGAAACTGACATCGTGTCAATAGCAGGGAGCTCGCAGTCAGTGCGTGGACGCGGAGACACAGAATGAGCGACAAACCAGCCGAGGATGTTTTAGGGTATGTTAGATTTAAGTTAGTCGTTGAACGTGAAAGAAAATGCAATCTACGTGCAACAATACGTCCAGTGTCGAGGTGTGTAACATATGCTGTGACCTGGATATACATGACAGGGTATATATTCGCCACCATTGGCAATGTTTACCGGTGTTGCTCCACGTGCTGACGTAAACTGGAAGGATGCGTATATGGGATGTTGTATTTTATTGATTTTTGTCACCGTGACTGATTGACTATGAAGTTTGACAACGACCCCCGTGACTTAGATTACTGGGAATCGTCGCCAGCAAAGTTACCAAGTTGATGACAACGTCTTTTGGGGGACATATGACATAATATTCTGGGTTATTATCACAAAACAAATAGGTCAATGTGTAATTAAATTGTTACAGTTCCCATTGTTCTTGATCATTAAATCTTGTCATTTATATTTTCTTCACTATATTAGATCTTAAAAGCGTTATGGTTAAAGTATGAAGTATTTGGGGGAAAGTCTGATGCAATGTTTTGTCATTTGTACCACACTGATGCTTGGCTAGTCATGTTTATCAGTAATTGTGAGGCTCAAGAGGAGTGTCCTCCCAGCGATCAAGTGGGAAAATACATTGTTACACTGCTCTGGATATACTTACATCATCTGATCACATATATATGTGTGATGAAACAGTAAGCAAGAATCATGAATAAAATGTGACAGCGCACAGCAGGAAATTCATTTCACGAGAGTTTGTGGAGCCATTGCCTCCTTGTTCTGTGTACCATGTCTAGGTAAGATCATTAGCACTGCCAATCAAATAATTTAAATACTTGTAACCTCACATCTAAATGACAAGTGGCAGTCATGTCAATAATGTCATTCATAACTCATCCTAGTTTTGTTTAATTCAACTGAACTAGATGGAAGTCAACAACTTCATCTAATTTCTTCTTCATTGAAAACTGCAGATTCAGGTCAAAATAACATACCAGTAGACGTAAGTTCAACATGTTTTCACAGGTAGCATTCAATTGGAAGTTGATAAATGTCAGACAGAAATCAACTTTCATTCAGCGTTGAAACAATGCAGTGTGCCTGCAAGGTAGGAAACAATCAGCACCTTGGGGTGTTTCATATGTGCTTCAGAAGTTTGTTAGATATGTTTACATTTTCATGTGGCATAGCCCATCACTCGTCATGCTTGAGTGGAGAACAACAAATATGTGAAGCAGTAATATTTATCTCTGTTCAGTAGAACTGAGGCATGCCATCACATCATGACTTTTCTTTTTCAGATTGTAAATATTTTCACAAACTTAAAGAGGAACTGTTCACCTTGTTCAGGTGGATATTTGTAGTGTATGTCTAGACATTGTAAACAGGGCTGCCATTCAGGGGTGTGGCATGCTGTCGTTCAGGGATGTGGCATGCTGTCGTTCAGGGGTGTGGCATGCTGTCGTTCAGGGGTGTGGCATGCTGTCGTTCAGGGATGTGGCATGCTGTCGTTCAGGGTGTGGCATGCTGTCGTTCAGGGGTGTGGCATGCTGTCGTTCAGGGGTGTGGCATGCTGTCGTTCAGGGATGTGGCATGCTGTCGTTCAGGGATGTGGCCCGGAGAAAATTAAAATGTTAATCATGTTGCAGTACATTTCCTTCTCAAACACTCAAAGTCAAACACAAAACTGAAGCAGACCCGTATAATATATCTCCAACAGGAATATCACTAAAGTATCTTATCACAAACTGGACATAACAGAAAGGTAAAACAGTTCGGTCATTATGATCTTTTATACAGCTATCCTTAGAAACCACTTCTTCAATAAAGTGTTGGCTTGTCATGCTGAACACCTGGGTTCGATTCCCCACGTGGGTACAATGTGTGAAGCCCATTTCTAGTGTACCCGTCCTGATATTGATGTAATATTGCTAAAGCTGTGGAAAACAACACTCGGTACCTCACCGTGATGCAGCAACAAAACAACACTCAGTACCTCACCGTGATGCAGTAGCAAAACAACACTCAGTACCTCACCGTGATGCAGTAACAAAACAACACTCAGTACCTCACCGTGATGCAGTAACAAAACAACACTCAGTACCTCACCGTGATGCAGTAGCAAAACAACACTCAGTACCTCACCGTGATGCAGTAACAAAACAACACTCGAGTACTTCACCGTGATGCAGTAGCAAAACAACACTCAGTACCTCACCGTGATGCAGTAGCAAAACAACACTTCGGTACCTCACCGTGATGCAGCAACAAAACAACACTCAGTACCTCACCGTGATGCAGCAACAAAACAACACTCAGTACCTCACCGTGATGCAGTAGCAAAACAACACTCAGTACCTCACCGTGATGCAGTAACAAAACAACACTCAGTACCTCACCGTGATGCAGCAACAAAACAACACTCAGTACCTCACCATGATGCAGTAACAAAACAACACTCAGTACCTCACCGTGATGCAGTAACAAAACAACACTCAGTACTCTCACCGTGATGCAGTAACAAAACAACACTCAGTACCTCACCGTGATGCAGTACCTCACCGTGATGCAGTAACAAAACAACACTCAGTACCTCACCGTGATGCAGCAACAAAACAACACTCAGTACCTCACCGTGATGCAGTCAACAAAACAACACTCAGTACCTCACCGTGATGCAGTAACAAAACAACACTCAGTACCTCACCGTGATGCAGTAACAAAACAACACTCAGTACCTCACCGTGATGCAGTAACAAAACAAACTCAGTACTCACCATGATGCAGTAGCAAAACAACACTCAGTACCTCACCGTGATGCAGCAACAAAACAACACTCAGTACCTCACCGTGATGCAGTAGCAAAACAACACTCAGTACCTCACCGTGATGCAGTAGCAAAACAACACTCAGTACCTCACCGTGATGCAGCAACAAAACAACACTCAGTACCTCACCGTGATGCAGTAACAAAACAACACTCAGTACCTCACCGTGATGCAGTAGCAAAACAACACTCAGTACCTCACCGTGATGCAGCAACAAAACAACACTCAGTACCTCACCGTGATGCAGTAACAAAACAACACTCAGTACCTCACCGTGATGCAGTAACAAAACAACACTCAGTACCTCACCGTGATGCAGCAACAAAACAACACTCAGTACCTCACCGTGATGCAGTAACAAAACAACACTCAGTACCTCACCGTGATGCAGTAGCAAAACAACACTCAGTACCTCACCGTGATGCAGCAACAAAACAACACTCAGTACCTCACCGTGATGCAGTAACAAAACAACACTCAGTACCTCACCGTGATGCAGTAACAAAACAACACTCAGTACCTCACCGTGATGCAGTAACAAAACAACACTCAGTACCTCACCGATGCAGTAACAAAACAACACTCAGTACCTCACCGTGATGCAGTAACAAAACAACACTCAGTACCTCACCGTGATGCAGTAACAAAACAACACTCAGTACCTCACCGTGATGCAGCAACAAAACAACACTCACTCACCGTGATGCAGTACCTCACACCGTGATGCAGTAACAAAACAACACTCAGTACCTCACCGTGATGCAGCAACAAAACAACACTCAGTACCTCAGTACCTCACCGTGATGCAGCAACAAAACAACACTCAGTACCTCACCGCGTGATGCAGCAACAAAACAACACTCAGTACCTCACCGTGATGCAGCAACAAAACAACACTCAGTACCTCACCGTGATGCAGTAACAAAACAACACTCAGTACCTCACCGTGATGCAGTAACAAAACAACACTCAGTACCTCACCGTGATGCAGCAACAAAACAACACTCAGTACCTCACCGTGATGCAGCAACAAAACAACACTCAGTACCTCACCGTGATGCAGCAACAAAACAACACTCAGTACCTCACCGTGATGCAGCAACAAAACAACACTCAGCACCTCACCGTGATGCAGCAACAAAACAACACTCAGTACCTCACCGTGATGCAGCAACAAAACAACACTCAGTACCTCACCGTGATGCAGCAACAAAACAAAGGTCGACTTTCATTGTATCGGATATGATTAATGGTGTGACTACATTTGTTATGGTGACTTGAGAGATCACTGACAGTCTTGTTTATTTGCATATTTCATTTATTTATTTCAACAATAACTTTCATGTGGAGCTGTGGGAAGTCTTGGGAAGTGGGATTGGGGTAGCCCAGTGGTTAAAGCGTTAGCTCATTGTGCCAAAGGACCAGGTTCAATTCCTCATATGGGCACTGTGTGTGAAGTCCATTTCTGGTGTTCCCCTGCCGTGATGTTGATTCAAGCAGCATACAAATTAAAACCTAACTCACTCACTCACTCACTCTTATCGTCAAAGCATTCACTCGTCACACTGGAGAGTCAGGTTTGATTCCCTACACTGGTACAATGTGTAAAGCCTGTTGCTGGCGAACCCTACTGCAGGAACACTGCTTAAACCAGCATTAAACATGGCTCTATCACAAACTAATTATCACCATCATACACAAAACAACTTCAAACACACACAATAAATGGAAGTAACTATACATCTGTGTCAAACTGACATCCTTAAGGAAAGTGAGTGAGTTTAGTTTTACGCCACTTTTTATCAATATTCCAGCAATATCATGACACGGGACACCATAAATGGGCTTCACAGTGTGACGCGATATACAATCACATATTAAAGCTATACAGATTGAGGGTGTGAGAAGTGTGACGTGGTATACGATCACGTATAAAAAGCTATACAGATTGGGGGGGTGAGAAGTGTGACGCGGTATACGATCACGTATTAAAGCTTGGTGGGGGGGTGAGAAGTGTGATGTGGTATACGATCACGTATTAAAGCTATACAGATTGGTGGTGTGAGAAGTGTGATGTGGTATACGATCACGTATTAAAGCTATACAGATTGGTGGTGTGAGAAGTGTGATGTGGTATACGATCACGTATTAAAGCTATACAGATTGGTGGTGTGAGAAGTGTGATGTGGTATCGATCATCACGCATTAAAGCTATACAGATTGGTGGTGTGAGAAGTGTGATGTGGAATGCATTAAAGCTTGGTGGGGTGAGAAGTGTGATGTGGTATATCACATCACGCATTAAAAGCATATTAAAGCTATACAGATTGGTGGTGTGAGAAGTGTGATGTGGTATACCATCAATGTATTAAAGCTATACAGATTGGTGGGTGAGAAGTGTGATGTGGTATACGATCACGTATTAAAGCTATACAGATTGGTGGTGTGAGAAGTGTGATGCGGTATACGATCACGTATTAAAGCTATACAGATTGGTGGTGTGAGAAGTGTGATGTGGATACGATCATGATATTAAAAGCTATACAGATTGGTGGTGCAGCCAGAAAGATGTTATTGAGCTTTTCAGCAGTACCTGAGAATTTGGTCAAGTTTCCCACCTGAAGTATTCTTACATACACTTGCTGTAATAATGTGAGGAACATCACGTATGCTGTACAGATTGGTCAGGTGCCAGAAGTGATGTAGATGTTATTGAGCTTTTCAGTACTCTGAGAATTTGGTCAAGTTTCCCACCTGAAGTATCTTACAACACTTGCTGTAAATAATGTAGGAACATCACTAAGTGTTGTTCAGCGCTGATGGAATATGATCAGTACCGGTATTTAAAATTATCAGTCAAGTAGGTTTGTGGCAGAAGTGTTACTGAATTTTAAGGCTGGATATTACCTTGATTCTCATATTGCGACATATTGCAGTGATTTAAGAGATGTTGCAATACATATTGTGATATATTGACTGGAAGGTTTCTGCCCAAGAACATACATAATAAATTCATAATATATGATAGCTCTCGGTGTGCGACATCATCTTGTTGGGTGCCGTTACACCATACTTTCACTTTTTTAAGGCTCCCCGTTCCCATTGTGCATGGCTGTATGCCAATGGTTTACAGATAAATGAAATGATATAGAGCCTTAATGTGGAATGTTTATTTGAAGTATTGCAACAAAGTTTTGCAAACATAATGATAAAGGTAATAGTATAACATAGTGGTGTTCCGATGATCGATTATAATCGAAAATTGATTGGTTACCCTTTTCCGACGCGACAATCGATTGCAAAATTTCATAATCGATTGTCGCTAATAATTTTTACAAAAACAGTAATGAATACCCAACTCAGACCACAAGACAACTGGCAGTTACAGATGATTATAACTTCGGTCCGCATTATTCACAAAATTCACAATCATATTGCGTCTACTTACGCCTTGAAATGAAGTGAAGTTGACTGAAAATGGATACACAGTGTATATATTTTGTTTCGCTTAATGTCATATTAATTGTAGCTGTCGATCACAACAAACTGGCATGCACACTCCGGCGCAGCGATGACTTGCATGTTTACCTCATTCCATGAGAGTACAACTTCTGCTTATCTTGTTCATGACGGACGTATCTAAATACATAATAACCCAGCTGCAGAATATAAAAAATAAACAAAAGGAACAAAAAGTCTAAATAAATAATGATCTGCCAGTAATGTGTTCAGATAAATAAGCGAAGTTTTGGTGAAATCATAATTGTTGTTAGCTTTCGAGCTAAACAAAATGGCGGCTGCCGACTGGGTTGATGTCGATGAAATATTCAACTACCCTTGCGGGAAAGGCAGATCCAACGTTTGGAAGTGTTTTGGATTTTGGAAGAAATGTCAGGGGCCCCCAACGAAGGAAAAACTTGACATGTCAAAGGCGATTTGTCGTATTTGTCGAAAGGAATACGCAAACAAAGGTATCTACTCATAATTTCGTGATACTGTCAAGTGAATGGTCGAAAGAATTATTTGAAAATAGAAAAGTAAAGATGACTTTAAGATGTTATGAATGCGTTGTTTACTGTATCATATTATATGAGCATGATATGAATCCGTCCATACTCATAAGTCTATTACTATCAGTACGAAATTTGAAACTACAGAATACATACAAACAAATTGAAACGTTATTGAAAACGAATGACATGTAGGCCTTGTCACATGAATTATCGTAAATCAGGTTAAAACTTGAGTACCCTTTTACTTTGCTATGTCAGAGTCACTTTTGGATCTATATGTACTTGCAAACATAAAATATATGAAATAAATCCTGAAAGTTGATTTCATAAATGATAAGAGATTATTTATTTGTCGAAATCAAGAACATAATTGATATTTGTCTTGTACTTAGTCGACGAAAATATATGTTTGTGTCTATATATTTCGAATTTCAGTGAATTTTCTTCCAATTTCGTAGAATTTCTAGTGAAACGTATTGACGTAGTTTAGGCTAAAATTTGTAGCCACTAGTATGATAAAATTGTTGAGGTTGGCATCTCTGGCATTGATGGTAAATAAATAATAAACCATAAAAAGAACAAATTCTTTTTCTTTTCTTTTGTTCAAATTCAACCATCTGCCTCTGAACTGAACTTACTTACCTTTAGGAGTCTGAGACAATACCAAACACATGGTCTTGTGTAACATATGTTTTATTCAGAGGTTATTCTTGTCATTTCATTTAACCGATTATTAACCGATGATTGATCGGTTGAGCCAATCCGATTGTAACCGATGATCGATTATGAAATCACAACCTCTTCCCAACACTAGTATAACATGATTTTCATGGTCAGTGTTGTTTGCTTCAACAGAATGCACTTCAATGCAGTATGTAGTTATTGTTACTGTATGTCAGTGATTCATTCAGATTCAACTCCAATATAAACTGATCAAACCTTCTACTAGGGTTTGTCAGACTCAGTATAGCAGTGTAACGAATAATACTGAGCCTAAGTTTACTTTGACTGGCTGAACACTCGGCATTGCTACCATAGCAACTGTTTGGTTTTATTGTTGCCTTCTATGTGTGTGGTAGAAGTGGATATACTGGAGAGTGAAAAGTCAACAATTCTATCAGAAATGATTTCTTGTAATGACTGTCTTGCGTGTCTACAGCCCTGATGGCAATCCCCTGTCTTGTAATGACTGTGTTGCGTGTCTACAGCCCTGATGGCAATCCCCTGTCTTGTAATGACTGTGTTGCGTGTCTACAGCCCTGATGGCAATCCCCTGTCTTGTAATGACTGTGTTGCGTGTCTACAGCCCTGATGGCAATCCCTGTCTTGTAATGACTGTACAGCCTGCGGTCTACAGCCCTGATGGCAATCCCTGTCTTGTAATGACTGTGTTATGCGCTGTCTACAGCCCTGATGGCAATCCCCTGTCTTGTAATGACTGTGTGTTGCGTGTCTACAGCCCTGATGGCAATCCCCTGTCTTGTAATGACTGTGTTGCGTGTCTACAGCCCTGATGGCAATCCCCTGTCTTGTAATGACTGTGTTGCGTGTCTACAGCCCTGATGGCAATCCCCTGTCTTGTAATGACTGTGTTGCGTGTCTACAGCCCTGATGGCAATCCCCTGTCTTGTAATGACTGTGTTGCGTGTCTACAGCCCTGATGGCAATCCCCTGTCTTGTAATGACTGTGTTGGCGTGTCTACAGCCCTGATGGCAATCCCTGTCTTGTAATGACTGTGTTGCGTGTCTACAGCCCTGATGGCAATCCCCTGTCTTGTAATGACTGTGTTGCGTGTCTACAGCCCTGATGGCAATCCCCTGTCTTGTAATGACTGTGTTGCGTGTCTACAGCCCTGATGGCAATCCCCTGTCTTGTAATGACTGTGTTGCGTGTCTACAGCCCTGATGGCAATCCCCTGTCTTGTAATGACTGTGTTGCGTGTCTACAGCCCTGATGGCAATCCCCTGTCTTGTAATGACTGTGCCCTTGCGTGTCTACAGCCCTGATGGCAATCCCCTGTCTTGTAATGACTGTGTTAGCGTGTCTACAGCCCTGATGGCAATCCCCTGTCTTGTAATGACTGTGTTTGCGTGTCTACAGCCCTGATGGCAATCCCCTGTCTTGTAATGACTGTGTTGGCGTGTCTACAGCCCTGATGGCAATCCCTGTCTTGTAATGACTGTGTTTGCGTGTCTACAGCCCTGATGGCAATCCCCTGTCTTGTAATGACTGTGTTTGCGTGTCTACAGCCCTGATGGCAATCCCTGTCTTGTAATGACTGTGTTGCGTGTCTACAGCCCTGATGGCAATCCCTGTCTTGTAATGACTGTGTTTGCGTGTCTACAGCCCTGATGGCAATCCCCTGTCTTGTAATGACTGTGTTTGCGTGTCTACAGCCCTGATGGCAATCCCTGTCTTGTAATGACTGTGTTATGCGTGTCTACAGCCCTGATGGCAATCCCTGTCTTGTAATGACTGTGTTTGCGTGTCTACAGCCCTGATGGCAATCCCTGTCTTGTAATGACTGTGTTGTTGCGCGGTCTACAGCCCTGATGGCAATCCCCTGTCTTGTAATGACTGTGTTTAGTGCGGTCTACAGCCCTGATGGCAATCCCTGTCTTGTAATGACTGTGTTGCGTGTCTACAGCCCCGATGGCAATCCCCTGTCTTGTAATGACTGTGTTGCGTGTCTACAGCCCCGATGGCAATCCCCTGTCTTGTAATGACTGTGTTGCGTGTCTACAGCCCTGATGGCAATCCCTGTCTTGTAATGACTGTGTTGTTGCGTGGTCTACAGCCCTGATGGCAATCCCTGTCTTGTAATGACTGTGTTAAGCGGTCTACAGCCCTGATGGCAATCCCCCTGTCTTGTAATGCCCCGATGGTGTGTGACTGTGCGTGGTCTACAGCCCTGATGGCAATCCCCTGTCTTGTAATGACTGTGTTGCGTGTCTACAGCCCTGATGGCAATCCCCTGTCTTGTAATGACTGTGTTGCGTGTCTACAGCCCCGATGGCAATCCCCTGTCTTGTAATGACTGTGTTGCGTGTCTACAGCCCTGATGGCAATCCCCTGTCTTGTAATGACTGTGTTGCGTGTCTACAGCCCTGATGGCAATCCCCTGTCGAAGAAGGCGCTGAAGAAGCAGCAGAAGGATGCTGAGAAGGCTTTGAAGAAGGCAGCCCACCGACAGCAGGAACAAGCACAAAATGTGAGGTTTCGCAATTTGATTTGTTGAGCACATTGCTTTTGTATTTGTTCTGTAGAAAATAGGTACCAAACTAACTATGTCTTCTTAGACTTTTCAACAATTTTTTACCCTCTTCCAAATTTTATAAGCATGTTAAACATGCAAGTGAATGTTTATGTAAACATATTCCATTATAAGACATTCATTGTAAGACTTTCATCATGTTATTGAGGCTGTTTGCAGATAGTTATTTAACTGAAAGTTCAACTGCCCAAAATGATATTGCATTTGCAACATTAAATTGTGGGACCATCTGCTTTGTCTCCGGGGGCCTGCATTTCAGCAAACATGCACTAACCCATGCATACATTCCCATGGATCTTCTGATCGTAAATTCATAAAGTACTTGCCCTTCATTTTAATTAACATTTTACCAACCAATCAAACATCAACATAAGTGAAAGGGTAAGGGAGGTAACTTGTGTTGCCTAGAGGCCAGAGCCACTGCCAGTTTTAACGGACATGAAGAGATCCTATCGATCCAAAAGGATTTAAGAACTCTCTTTTGTCAATCAGTTTTTGAGAATTGAATTTCTAACAAACATGATCTTAATCAATGAGACAGGCCGCAACAAGAAATATTTTCTGCAACATGTTTCCCATATTTATTTATGAATGTTGTGCTATGTTCTGAAGCCCCAGGCAGCAGAGCAGGAGAAGGAGGATTATGCCAAGGACCACTATGGCCAGGTCCGCATGATCCAGTCTCGCGACAAACCCGACCGGACCTTGCTGAAAGTGTGCGAGTTGACGCGGGGTCTGGCCGACCAGAAGGTGTGGTTGAGAGGACGACTGTACACCAGCAGAAGTAAAGGTAAGCAGTTGCAGGAAAGTAGTATCATGTGCCTCTCGACTAAAGTAAAGGTAAGCAGTTGCAGGAAAGTAGTATCATGTGCCTTTCGACTAATATATACACCAAGTGGCCAGATACAGATAGTTACATTAGCAGCAAAAGTAAAGGTAAGCAGTTGCAGGAAAGTAGTATCATGTGCCTCTTGACTAAAGTAAAGGTAAGCAGTTGCAGGAAAGTAGTATCATGTGCCTCTTGACTAAAGTAAAGTTGAGCAGTTGCAGGAAAGTAGTATCATGTGCCTTTCAACTAATATATACACCCAGTGGCCAGATACAGATAGTAACATTAGCAGCAGAAGTAAAGGTAAGCAGTTGCAGGAAAGTAGTATCATGTGCACTAAAGTAAAGTTTAGTATCATGTGCCTCAATATATATACACCCAAGATGATAGTAACATTAGCAGCAGAAGATACAGATAGTTACATTCATCAATTCATTATCATTCATAGTTTTCTGTATTTGTTTGTGTTGATGTTCTTCATTGTCATAATTTTGTCAGTCCCAAAACATTAGTTAATTTAAGTGTACCAGGTTTTTAATCGTAGTATTTTTGTGTTTTTAATGTATGGCTAAATCTCAGTATAAACGCCAATGGCTGAAGGGATGGCGTAAATCCAGCTAGGGTCCATGCAGGCAGCAAAGGTACTGTAAGTCCCCATGGTCCCTAGTATGGTGATCTACCTTCAGTTGTTGGCGATTACTGGCCCATTTTTACATTGTATTGTCCAAAAATAGTTTTCTACTTTTAAAGTCGTATGCTGGCTAGTTTTAACTCATTTTGTGATAATCTAGTGGTTTTACTGTCCTTCGTTAACATGGTTTTATATATTATCTGCATGTACTATAAATTTAGAACTAGTTTTAGTACGATATGGCTGAAATATTGCCGATGTGACTTTAAATTTTAACTCACTCACTCACTCACTCATGATTTTGTCCGGCCACCAGGAGTTACACATGGTAATACTTTACACCTGGATGAGGCTGATCAATAACTGACAATCAAATCAATATGTCTGTACTATGTTATTGAACAGCTGTGTAGACTAGCGCGATACAGCTGAATGCATGTGTCTTGCAATTGCTCTAATTCAAGGATATGATGGATATTGTTTGTTTCAATATATATACAAAGATGATACCTTTTTTTCATGTGAGAAAGAAAACTTGCAGCAACAAACACACAAGTGAGACACTAGACCATGAGACACATATAGCTAACAACCAACACATGCAGGACACGCATACATTCAAACATGGAAATAATCAGAGATGATAATTTTGAAACATCTGTGAACCAGAAAATATAGTCTTGCCTAAACAATGTTTTTCAGGAAAATCATGTTTCTTCGTCATTAGACAACAGAAATGGACAGTCCAAGCACTGGTGTCAGTTGGGGAGAAGGTCAGCAAGCAAATGGTCAAGTATATTGCAAAGTGAGAACCAGTCAACTTGCCACTCAATTTATGTGTTCCAATAGACAGAACCTAGTTGCATGTTGTGAAACATTTGACACCCTTTTGGTTATAGCCATAAGTTCCTTGTTCCTTTATCATGACATGAATCACACTGTTTGTGTGTAACACATGGCATGCCTGTGGCCAGGTGTTCCAAGGTGCCTCAGATGTGTGACCTACCGCCTCCATGGTGTAGTGGTTAGAGCGTTCACCCGGGGAGCAGAAGGTTGTGGGTTCGATCCCTGGCCTTGTCATACCAAATGACGTTAATATATGGTAATTGTTGGTCCCTGGCTGGCGTTCGGCATTAATGGGTACAACAAGGACTGGTCGGCTCGGAGTCAGTATAATGTGTCTGAGTGGGGTATTCATGCTTCACTGCGGCATGGTATCTCAGTGAGCTAGCACTATAAAACCAGCTTCAGTCTGGACTAGTACAAGCAGCCACACATACACATACACACGCTTGCACGTAGTCATGTGAGCGAAATATTCTCAAGCACGAAGTTAAACCCAATTTCACCTCACCTCACCTCACCTCACCTCACCTCACCTCACCTCACCTCACCTCACCTCACCTCACCTATGATAAAACGGTTTGGAATGGATAAATGCTGGGTATTGTTAATGGTGGGATCCACCTGTGACCTCAGTAAATTCATGTATGTGACATAGCACCTGCTGTTACAGTATCAACAAGGAATCCATCGTCGATGTTGAGGGTTATGTGAGGACGGTCCCACAGAAGATTGAATCCTGCTCACAACAAGATGTCGAACTTCATGCAGAACAGGTACATCCATTAAACAGGATATTCTTTTCACCAGAACAAGGGGTAGGTCAGTAGGTAGTACGTCCACCAGTCACCAGAACAAGGGGTAGGTCAGTAGTTAGTACGTCCACCAATCACCAGAACAAGGGGTAGGTCAGTAGGTAGTACGTCCACCAATCACAAGAACAAGGGGTAGGTCAGTAGGTAGTACATCCACCAATCACCAGAACAAGGGGTAGGTCAGTAGGTAGTACGTCCACCAATCACCAGAACAAGGGGTAGGTCAGTAGGTAGTACGTCCACCAGTCACCAGAACAAGGGGTAGGTCAGTAGGTAGTACGTCCACCAATCACCAGAACAAGGGGTAGGTCAGTAGGTAGTACGTCCACCAGTCACCAGAACAAGGGTGGGGTCAGTAGGGTAGGTAGTACGTCCACCAATCACCAGAACAAGGGGTAGGTCAGTAGGTAGTACGTCCACCAATCACAAGAACAAGGGGTAGGTCAGTAGGTAGTACGTCCACCAATCACCAGAACAAGGGGTAGGTCAGTAGGTACCAATCACCAGAACAAGCGTCCACCAATCACAAGAACAAGGGGTAGGTCAGTAGGTAGTACGTCCACCAATCACCAGAACAAGGGGTAGGTCAGTAGGTAGTACGTCCACCAGTCACCAGAACAAGGGGTAGGTCAGTAGGTAGTACGTCCACCAATCACAAGAACAAGGGGTAGGTCAGTAGGTAGTACGTCCACCAATCACAAAGACAGGCCAAGTTTGAAGCTTCCAAAACCCCTGTGACCATTTTAGATGTGCCAATGGTTCATATCTTCTTTCCATCTTGACGGGAGTTGAATGGATAAGCTGTAAGTGAGGCATGATGGGTAATTACCAAACGAGTTGTCCCTGAAACACTTTGGCATGTAGTAGTGGAAGCCATGGTGGCCGGATACAAGTCCAGATATTTTGCATGCCCTAAGCTTCTCTTTCAACGGTTGTTGTAATTTAATCTGTCTGTGATTGTAAGTACTTATATTTATGGCTGTTTGTCTACATTGTTCAGGTGTGGGTTATACAACATTGTTTATGTTCAGGTGTGGGTTATACACTGTTGTTTATACTCGTGAATGTCCGGGTCAGAATATTGGTCTTCAGTAACCCATGCTTGTCGTAAGAGGAGAATAATGAGATCGGGGGGTCAGGCTCGCTGACTTGGTTGACACATGTCAATTGCGCAGATCGATGCTCATACTGTTGATCACTGTATTTTCTGGTCCAGGCTTGATTATTTACAGACCGCTGCCATATGGCCGGAATATTGCTGAGTGCGGCATAAAACTAAAACTCACCCACTGTTGTTTATGTACAGGTGTGGGTTGTAAGTTCAGCTGCTCCAAGACTTCCCCTACTCATAGAGGATGCTTCACGACCTGAAACAGAAGGGGTAGGTCATCCCAACACTTTTCATTCACTTGAAAACTGTTCAAAAGTTCCACAGAATGAGAGTTTAAATTCTCACAGAATATGGTTGTAATTCTGATTATATTCCTCGACACTGTAATTAACATTGCCGATATTGGTCACTTAACAGCAGTTTTGAAGTATTGTTTCATCTTTGTGAAATTTATGGTATATGTGTTGTGAGAATGTCTGTTTCTGACAAGGTTTTGAACTTTACATTGTGTCAGGACTTGGCCCATGTTAACCAAGATACTCGTCTCGACAACCGCATCATCGACCTCCGGACACAGACCAACCAGGCCCTGTTTCGTGTTCAGATGGGCGTGTGTAGACACTTCAGGCAACATCTGGAGCAAAATGGCTTTGTAGAGATTCATACGCCGAAAATTATATCAGGTACTGATGATGTTCTGAACATCAGACAGAAAAAGAAACAAACTGAATCTGACTGCAGTAATCTTATGACTTGGTTTGCGACACAGCTTGGGCGACAGACTAGTTTGTGTTGGGGCACAGCTTGGGTGACAGACAGTTTGTGTTGGGTGACAGACAGTTTGTGTTGGGACACAGCTTGGGCGACAAACACAGTTTGTGTTGGGACACAGCTTGGGTGACAGACAGTTTGTGTTGGGTGACAGACAGTTTGTGTTGGGACACAGCTTGGGCGACAGACACAGTTTGTGTTGGGACACAGCTTGGGTGACAGATTAGTTTGTGTTGGTACACAGCTTGGGCGACAGATTAGTTTGTGTTGGTACACAGCTAGGGCGACAGATTAGTTTGTGTTGGTACACAGCTTAGGCGACAGATTAGTTTGTGTTGGTACACAGCTTGGGCGACAGATTAGTTTGTGTTGGTACACAGCTTAGGCGACAGATTAGTTTGTGTTGGTACACAGCTTAGGCGACAGACAGTTTGTGTTGGGACACAGCTTTGGCGACAGATTAGTTTGTGTTGGTACACAGCTTGGGCGACAGACAGTTTGTGTTGGGACACAGCTTTGTGGGCGACAGATTAGTTTGTGTTGATACACAGCTTGGGCGACAGATTAGTTTGTGTTGGGACACAGCTTGGGCGACAGATTAGTTTGTGTTGGGACACAGCTTGGGCGACAGACAGTTTGTGTTGGGACACAGCTTGGGCGACAGACAGTTTGTGTTGGGACACAGCTTTGTGGGCGACAGATTAGTTTGTGTTGGTACACAGCTTGGGCGACAGACAGTTTGTGTTGGGACACAGCTTTGTGGGCGACAGATTAGTTTGTGTTGAGACACAGCTTGGGCGACAGATTAGTTTGTGTTGGTACACAGCTTGGGTGACAGACTAGTTTGTGTTGGTACACAGCTTGGGCGATAGACACAGTTTGTGTTGAGACACAGCTTGGGCGATAGACACAGTTTGTGTTGAGACACAGCTTGGGTGACAGACTAGTTTGTGTTGGGACACAGCTTGGGTGACAGATTAGTTTGTGTTGAGACACAGCTTGGGCGACAGACACAGTTTGTGTTGAGACACAGCTTGGGTGACAGTTTGTGTTGAGACACAGCTTGCTTGACAGATTAGTTTGTGTTGAGACACACACTTGGGAGACACAGCTTGGGTGACAGTTTGTGTTGAGACACAGCTTGCTTGACAGATACAGTTTGTGTTGAGACACAGCTTGGGCGATAGACACAGTTTGTGTTGAGACACAGCTTGGGTGACAGACTAGTTTGTGTTGAGACACAGCTTGGGCGACAGACACAGTTTGTGTTGGGACACAGGTGGCAAGGTAGACTAGTTTGTGTTGAGACACAGCTTGGGCGACAGAGAGTTTGTGTTGGGCGACAGTTTGTGTTGGGACACAGCTTGTGTGACAGACTAGTTTGTGTTGGTACACAGCTTGGGCGACAGACACAGTTTGTGTTGGGACACAGGTGGCAAGGTAGACTAGTTTGTGTTGAGACACAGCTTGGGCGACAGAGAGTTTGTGTTGGGCGACAGTTTGTGTTGGGACACAGCTTGGGCGACAAACACAGCTTGTGTTGAGACACAGCTTGTGTGACAGTTTGTGTTGAGACACAGCTTGTGTGACAGACTAGTTTGTGTTGGGACACAGCTTGGGTGACAGACTAGTTTGTGTTGAGACACAGCTTGGGCGACAGAGAGTTTGTGTTGAGACACAGCTTAGGCGACAGAGAGTTTGTGTTGGGCGACAGTTTGTGTTGGGACACAGCTTGGGCGACAAACACAGCTTGTGTTGGGACACAGGTTGGGTGACAGACTAGTTTGTGTTGGGACACAGGTGGCAAGGTAGACTAATTTGTGTTGGGACTTGTTGCTAACAGCCTATGTTTTGATTGACAGCTGCATCAGAAGGCGGGGCCAATGTGTTCGAGGTAACTTACTTCAAGACCAAGGCATACCTGGCTCAGTCCCCTCAACTTTACAAGCAGATGGCCATATGTGGAGACATGGATAGGGTGTTCACTGTCGGAGCAGGTGGGTGTCACATGGCAGTTAGATGGCCGTATGTGGAGACATGGATAGGGTGTTCACTGTCAGTTCTGGTGGGTGTCAGACGACACGCAAATGGCCATATATAACGACATTCAAGAATAAAAAGATCAATGTTGTAATGAAAGTTGACCTATTGAAGCAGCTGACTTGTATTACCAAAGTTGAAGCAGCTAAGTCGAGCCAGCTGTGCTGAGTCTTGTTGTTTTTCAGTGTTCCGTGCAGAAGACTCGAACACACATCGCCACTTGACGGAGTTTGTCGGCCTTGACCTCGAGATGGCATTCAACTACCACTACCACGAAGTTGTTGATGTTATAGGAAATATGTTTGTGGCAATATTCAAAGGTCTACAACAAAAGTAGGTCAAAAGTGTCTAGAATCCTTCATTGAATTGATGCATTACATGTCAGTCGAGTAACCTAGCTAATCGAGCATTGTGTAAAAGAAGCAGACGTATTCTGACAAATTCTTGTATCATCTGAATTCATAATATATGAAAGGTCATTTGGTGTTTTTGTCTGCTGTTATGTCAGAGTTACCTCCCATGTGCCACATGACCTTGTTACCACCTGTGAATATTCAAATACTGTAACATAGTTAGGAAGAAAATATTCTGATTTCATTTGTTGTAGTTTTGCAGAAGAAATCGAGATTGTCCACAAACAGTTTCCCGCTGAGCCTTTTAAGTTCTTGGAGCCAAGGTGAGGAGTTGGAAACACTAGTTACACCTGCTGTAGGCAATCCTGTCCATAGTTCTGAATCCTTGAAATGACTGGAGACACTTCAGAAGGAAAAAAACAAAGTAGATATATAGCAGACAGTGGGGTTTTTGTCAGCTGTCAGTTTTGTATTTTGGTACCCAACTGATGACTCAAGGTTACCATGGTGATTTTGTGCATGTTCCAGTTTACGCCTCGACTACCGTGAAGGGGTGCAGATGTTGCAGGAGGTCGGAGTGGAAATGGAGGAGGGCGATGATCTCAGCACCCCGAATGAGAAATTGCTTGGGAAGTTGGTGAAGGCCAAGGTATAACTGCCATTGTGCACTGTATACTGAGTGTACTGAGGGTTGGCTTCCCAGTACACCCTGGTTAGATTTCTTGGTTTGTCAACACTAAAACTGTGCTCCCCAATTCACCAGTCACACAGTGTTATAACTGGAATACAGTTCAAAGTAGCCTTATACCCAAGTGACTCACATGTAACTGTTTTGTGTGCTAATGTCAACCAAGCTACAACTGCTATATAACTTATGAGACATATTACCTGCCATTGTATACGAGATATAAATTACACTGTGCAGAAAGTATAATTGCCATTGTGCCAAAGGGTGTTTCTTTGATTATCTGCCATGCATAACTCCTGTGGTACTATGTGATACGACTGTGATGTGTACGATGTATAACTGACACGGATCATCAAGGTTGGACCAGCGCCCTTAAGAATAATGTGTTCACTCTCTGTATTGACGCCATGCTTTATTTCAGTACGACACTGACTTCTTCATTCTGGACAAGTTCCCGCTGGCAGTGCGGCCATTCTACACCATGCCTGACCCGGAGGACACGGTGAGCCACAAAAGTTACTTTACCCCACGCAGTCTTTCTGACATGGCTACTGTACTTCTGTCAAAATCTGAAAGCAGACATGGAACTCATTTCACTTATGTCATGTCTTGTGACAACTGATAGTCTTTATACTTGATACACCTCCTTCCTGTTCCTTGATCATTTGGGAATTTGATGGCATTGAAGATCCTCACATACATCATCCATAGCCATGTTGCTTACATCTTCCATTATTACCTCCCTTACATCATACATAGTTACCTCCCTTACATCAATCACCAGTATAATGTAATTGTGTTCTTCTTTTGCATCCTGTTCCAGAAGCATTATAGTTGTCAAACAAGTTCTACCTTCACCCTCTACTCTCACCTTCTGAAGGGCTAAACTTCACATAGTAGAAGCTACGCATAGCAGAAATGACCAGTCTAAGTAAACTTAGGCTCAGTATTATTCGTTACACTGCTATACTGAGTCTAACAAACCCTAGTAGAAGGTCACGTCAGCTAGTTTTGGACTGACCAATCAGAACACAGCTTACTGAATCGCAGAAGTTAACATTAGCATATACCGTTTGATCCTTTACCTAAAAAACTCGAACAATTATGAATGCTAATTTCCGCACCGATCGCTTCCAAGTGATACACATGGAGGACGCTACGAGTAAACAGTTGCTGAAAAAAGCGTTTTTGGCGATATTCAAGGATGTCATCTTGCGGAAATATAAGCTGATAGTACCATGTCATTAGAAACCCCTAAGCGTATATACTGCAGGTCGAATATCTGTGGTCTATGCGAATTTTAGTTTGTTGGTAGATCAGTGTCAGCGACCAGGGAAGAGAAAATCCAAAAACTGTTTTGTAAGTGCTGCAGAACCCTAACAAGTAGTCGTTGTCTGATTGGTTAAATCCGTTCGTCCTTCTCGCGTTTGATTGGATGGTCATAGGTTTGCTCAAAGGTTACCTGACGCGACCTTCTACTAGGGTTTGTTAGACTCAGTATAGCAGTGTAATGAATAATACTGAGCCTAAGTTTACTTAGACTGTAGAAATGACACTAATCTTGCCTTTTTAGAAATGGTCCAACTCTTACGACATGTTTATGCGAGGAGAGGAGATCCTATCTGGAGCCCAGCGAATCCACGACCCTGACTTCCTGTTAGAGAGGGCAAAGCTACATGAAATAAGTGAGTGTTGAAATATGATGGCCTGGACTCAAACCCCTTAGATTCTTGGACTGAAGATATGTCTCAGCTCTCCGTGGTTGGCATAGGGGGCCCAGTCATCCTAGGCCCTGCATCTCACTCTGCAGAGTTACTTCCCTTGGACTGAAGATATGTCTCAGCTCTCCGTGGTTGGCATGGAGGGCCCAGTCATCCTAGGCCCTGCATCTCACTCTGCAGAGTTACTTCCCTTGGACTGAAGATATGTCTCAGCTCTCCGTGGTTGGCATGGGGGCCCAGTCATCCTAGGCCCTGCATCTCACTCTGCAGAGTTACTTCCCTTGGACTGAAGATATGTCTCAGCTCTCCGTGGTTGTTACTTCCTTGGACTGACATGCATGGGGGGCCCAGTCATCCTAGGCCCTGCATCTCACTCTGCAGAGTTCACTTCCCTTGACTGAAGATATGTCTCAGCTCTCCGTGTGGTTGGCATGGGGGCCCAGTCATCCTAGGCCCTGCATCTCACTCTGCAGAGTTACTTCCCTTGGACTGAAGATATGTCTCAGCTCTCCGTGGTTGGCATGGGGGCCCAGTCATCCTAGGCCCTGCATCTCACTCTGCAGAGTTACTTCCCTTGGACTGAAGATATGTCTCAGCTCTCCGTGGTTGGCATGGGGGCCCAGTCATCCTAGGCCCTGCATCTCACTCTGCAGAGTTACTTCCCTTGGACTGAAGATATGTCTCAGCTCTCGTGTGGTTGGCATGGGGGCCCCAGTCATCCCTAGGCCCTGCATCTCACTCTGCAGAGTTACTTCCCTTGGACTGAAGATATGTCTCAGCTCTCCGTGGTTGGCATGGAGGGCCCAGTCATCCTAGGCCCTGCATCTCACTCTGCAGAGTTACTTCCCTTGGACTGAAGATATGTCTCAGCTCTCCGTGGTTGGCATGGGGGGCCCAGTCATCCTAGGCCCTGCATCTCACTCTGCAGAGTTACTTCCCTTGGGATGCCAGAAACGATTGTGTGTTCAATCCCAGTTTATCCCAGTCTCTGGATATGTCAGCTCCATAACCATGCTAATGGTTTTCACCATGGTAACTGCCGGAGACCGCATCACTTGACCGTGTCCCTGGTCAAGCTGGCACGCTATGATATACCAAAAATACCAAACAGCATTAAACTAGTACCTAGTACAAGGCAGTTGGTAAATATTTTAGTTCTTGATTAAAGGTGAAATTATCCAGAAACGAGCGTTAATAGTAGCAGACAGACAGGTGTGATCACTACTCCAGTCAGGGACAATCCATGATATGGTGCAATGTGTCACACTGCTGTGCTAAGATGTCATATTATCAACCAAGTCACTGAGACAGGTAGACAGGTGTCTAAGATTAGTGACAAACAGCCTCAACTCCACTTTCGATCCACTGAAGTAGTTAGTGCCATGTTTTCAGAAGTCATTCTGCTAACGACTGATCAGAATTTAGGCAACATCTTTACACACCTGTGTTTTGTATCTCCAGACATTGAGAAGATCAAGGCGTACATCGACTCGTTCAAGTATGGAGCACCTCCACATGCTGGAGGGGGTATAGGTGAGTGGTCCTACTTCCTCGTTATTCACCACAACAGTGTGGCCAGGTGTGAGTTGTCGTCCTACTTCCTACTTCCTCGTTGTTCACCACAACAGTGTGGCCAGGTGTGAGTTATGCTGACCATTACACATTGCTGTCTTGTCATAACAACAGGATTTCCTGGTGGAATCTGTCATAAGGTATTACCTCAACATGTGGTAGCCAGTAGACCGTCTACACTGTAGCAGATAGTTCTTCCGATAACAGGATTCAAATCGTCAGTTTCTTTACATCATGGTAGAATGGAATTTCTTCCATCATATTTGGGCAACATTAAAACTTGTTTTGATGACTGATGCCCAATCTCTTACACATGCACATTTGGTTCATGACTATTGCTTTGTTCCAGGTATGGAGCGTGTCACCATGTTGTACCTCGGGCTTGACAATATCCCGCAAGGCGTCACTGTTCCCTCGTGACCCAAAGCGTCTCACTCCGTGAAGCATGACGTACACTTCACCTCCAGCAATATCTTACATTTCCTCTCTGAATTCTTGAATGCATTGATTGGGCTGGGATATTAAGCTATATTTTAAATAAAATAGTCTTCTTCTTAACAATAATATATATTTTGTTGGTCTTGCAATAGGTTCAGTCAGAACTACTTAGAAGTCATTTCTCAAAGGCTCTGGTTCCATTTTCCAAGATTTCTAAGTAAGATGTCTCTCTTTTGTCCATATTAATCTGTAACACTTCTCTGTAGCTCCTCTGTACACTGTGGTGATCCTCCAGCTACAGTGTACATGTATTTAGTAAGGCTGGGTTGATACACCATAACTGTAATATCTGATAGGATTCAGGTACTTGATTTGTCTTTGGACTTTTAAGGCCTGAAGTCATGAGAATGTCTGCTCATCAGCTTCCAGGTTTAAGTCTATGGTGACTGCCAGCTGGAATCTCATCTGTTGTCATATAGCCCCAGGCAATATGTGGTATATCTCACACCACTGTGTATGTGCATTTATACACCGTTGAACCGTACAATAAGGTTAATGATGAGGACTTCTCTACCAACAAGGCCTCCCAACATAAAACAGTGATTTGCAAATTATTTATAGATTTTGCTTGTTGAACAAACATTTGAAACATACCAACTGTAATAAGTTAAGAAAATGCATTTGTTAATATGCTGCTTTTGAGCATGAGAGTACATGTATGTATTTGTTAATAGTGTTAAAATACCAGCGTTGTGGTGCTGACAAGTGTAAAGTGTACATACACCATCATTCTCAACATGTCTGTTATAGTTTTGTACAGATATCTTAAAGACTTAGGTGACTTTGCTTAATAAGTGAGAAAATTTCACTGCCATATTTTGTGTTGTGTTCTTTGTTTCATCCACCAGAGATTGTATTTACTCTATACAAATCTACTATTATTATTATTATTATTATATGATGCAATCAGTACTAACTGCATCCATTGATTAATTCTGTATGATGCAGTCAGTGGTAACTGCTTCCATGGAGTAATTCTGTATGATGCAGTCAGTGGTAACTGCATCCATGGATTAATTCTGTATGATGCAATCAGTACTAACTGCTTCCATGGATTAATTCTGTATGATGCAGTCAGTGGTAACTGCTTCCATGGATTAATTCTGTATGATGCAGTCAGTGGTTACTGCATCCATGGATTAATTCTGTATGATGCAGTCAGTGGTTACTGCGTCCATATATTAATTCTGTATGATGCAGTCAGTGGTAACTGCTTCCATGGATTAATTCTGTATGATGCAGTCAGTGGTTACTGCGTCCATATATTAATTCTGTATGATGCAGTCAGTGGTAACTGCATCCATGGATTAATTCTCTATGATGCAGTCAGTGGTTACTGCTTCCATGGATTAATTCTGTATGATGCAGTCAGTGGTTACGGCGTCCATATATTAATTCTGTATGATGCAGTCAGTGGTAACTGCATCCATGGATTAATTCTGTATGATGCAGTCAGTGGTTACTGCGTCCATGGATTAATTCTGTATGATGCAGTCAGTGGTAACTGCATCCATGGATTAATTCTGTAAGATGCAGTCAGTAGTTACTGCATCGATGGATTAATTCTCTATGATGCAGTCAGTGGTTACTGCTTCCATGGATTAATCCTGTATGATGCAGTCAGTGGTTACGGCCTCCATATATTAATTCTGTATGATGCAGTCAGTGGTAACTGCATCCATATATTAATTCTGTATGATGCAGTCAGTGGTTACTGCTTCCATGGATTAATTCTGTAAGATGCAGTCAGTTACTGCGTCCATGGGTTAATTCTGTATGATGCAGTCAGTGGTAACTGCATCCATTGATTAATTCTGTATGATGCAGTCAGTGATAACTGCTTCCATGGATTAATACTGTATGATCCAGTAAGTGGAAACTGCTTCCATGGATTAATTCTGTATGGTACAGTCAGTGGTTACGGCCTCCATATATTAATTCTGTATGATGCAGTCAGTAGTTACTGCATCCATGGATTAATTCTGTATGATGCAGTCAGTAGTTACTGCGTCCATAGATTAATTCTGTATGATGCAGTCAGTGGTTACTGCTTCCATGGATTAATTCTGTATGATGCAGTCAGTGGTTACTGCGTCCATGGATTAATTCTGTATGATGCAGTCAGTGGTTACTGCTTCCATGGATTAATTCTGTATGATGCAGTCAGTGGTTACTGCTTCCATGGATTAATTCTGTAAGATGCAGTCAGTAGTTACTGCGTCCATGGATTAATTCTGTATGATGCAGTCAGTGGTTACTGCGTCCATATATTAATTCTGTATTATGCAGTCAGTGGTAACTGCATCCATTAATTGATTAATTCTGTATGATGCAGTCAGTGGTAACTGCTTCCATGGATTAATTCTGTATGATGTATGCAGTCAGTTACTGGATTAATTCTGTAGATGCAGTCAGTCCATGGATTAATTCTGTATGATGCAGTCAGTGGTTACAGCCTCCATATATTAATTCTGTATGATGCAGTCAGTGGTTACTGCATCCATGGATTAATTCTGTATGATGCAGTCAGTGGTAACTGCGTCCATGGATTAATCCTGTATGATGCAGTCAGTGGTAACTGCATCCATGGATTAATTCTGTATGATGCAGTCAGTAGTTACTGCTTCCATGGATTAATTCTGTATGATGCAGTCAATGGTAACTGCGTCCATGTATTAATTCTGTATGATGCAGTCAGTGGTAACTGCGTCCATGGATTAATCCTGTATGATGCAGCCAGTGCTAACTGCATCCATGGATTAATTCTGTATGGTGCAGTCAGTGGTTACTGCTTCCATGGATAAATTCTGTATGATGGACAGAGATTGTCTGTATGATGCAGTCAGTGGTAACTGCATCCATGGATAAATCCTGTGTGATGCACTCAGTGGTAACTGCATCCATGGATTAATTCTGTATGGTGCAGTCAGTGATAACTGCTTCCATGGATTAATTCTGTATGATGCAGTCAGTGATAACTGCATCCATGGATTAACACCATGTATCACCTCATCCCTGGTGATGGCACTAGGGTAGCCTTGTGGTTAAGCGTTTGCTCATCATGCCAAAGACCCGGGTTCGATTGCCCACATGGGTACAATGTGTGAGCCCAGTTCCGGTGTCCCCCCACCGTGATATTGCTGGAATATTGCTAAACTCGCCCACTCACTCATTTCCAGTAAAAAGTAGGACACCATACGTTGGACTGCCATTACCCTTCCGAAGCATTTCACAAGACAAGTAGGATGTCGGCATCTTTTTATAACGAACACAACGAGTCTATTCCTTCTCTTCCATCAGAACAATCAAGGCTTGGAAGCAGGTGGATATTTACGTAAATTTAAGTGTGGGGACAACAAAGGTGGAAACGGAACAAGGGAAGCTAGTAATTAATTGGCGCTGATTGGTAATGACAATGAACACATGGAAGCCAGGAGTAAACAACTAATAATCATTGATTGCTGTTGGACACGATGAGGTAATTAACAGAATATGTCCGAAATAATCTGACATGGACGTTTTGTTATGAATTATCAGACAAGTGTGAATGCATGACACGTTTTATGAAAAGCAACTTCGTTGTTTTCCTTATCACAATGTTTCAGAGCTTATGCTTGCTCCTTCATCATGTGAATGCTTGAGTCAGTGCACAGAGTGAATGTATATAGAAAGAATGTTTAAACAACGCCATGTGGGAGAATGTACAAAGATCACAATATTATAATTAGATAGGATTAGAGTATTATTTAATAAGATAATGTAAAAATGAAGCCAATGAGATTAACGGTATAACAATGTAAGACAAAGCTAATGGTTAGAGCAAACTGGAGTACACACTGGGAAGGTGGATGCCTTGGTCTCGGTTGATTGATGGCTTCTTTCTTTGGTCAGACGACTGTTGAATACGAGTGTACTTCACAGAGTAGGTCGGTGCTTGCAGTATCAATCAAGTTTGCCTGGTGAGGACTCTACTCATATAGTTGGACCGATGGCGCTGTCCCTAAGATGAGTACACAGTCTGTTTTCGAGACATTACTCCACTGATGTTTCATAGGCGGCTCCCCTATCTCCAACAGCGGTACCCGCCCCTGTGTGTGCCGAGTTCCTACTATCACCTAGAACCGTGGCGTCACATTTTATGTCACTGGGATATGAATTCGGCACGTCATGTCTGATTTCACACCTTTGAATGATATTAAACAACTTTGAATATGACCCCCAACAGCAGTCATTCGAAGTTTCAACAACTACACTTATCTTACCTTCATGTAAAATACTTTAATTTCATTGGTCAATGACGGTTCAACAAGTTTCCGTTGCCACGGTAACCGCCGAGAAGCTGAAGCGCTAACAATCGTATGACGTCATAATATGACGCATGCCGTGCCCGGAGTTCGAAAACCGTTCGATCAGCTGTTTTTGTGTTCACTTTGTACAAATTTATTTTACCGACTTTCACTGCTTTGTTTAAAGGTCACATGCAACCTAAAACACAACTTTGCAGATTCTGATACCTTTCGCTATGGACTTACCGAAACAAATCGTCAAAAATGCAAATTCAACTTATAAAGTTGAAAAATAACGCGATGAAAAAAACCGCGCGAAATCGGAGTTCAAACGTTTCACTAAATTTCCCCCGACTTTTCTGGGGAAAACGGGTTTCAACAGCTTGGCTGCGCTCATAGCATGTGCGCAGTGAAATCGGTTCGCACAGCTTGGAAGCGGGTTGTCCGGTGAATACTCTGTGAAGGCTTTGGTGTGAGCTATTTTTCTAATGTTTTGTTGATATCTCACAGGCGCGAGCTTTTTACATGTTATGACAGTAAATTAACTGTTTATATAATTTCATTTGTCTATTTCACCACACGTTCTTCTTACCGAGTCACTTTCTCAGTTCGATACTTACAAGCAATGTCATTATTTAGCGTTGATTTCTAACTGTGATATAGATATGTCGTTGTCACAGACAAAACTCAATGTCTTGTTTTATTGACACCTGTGTGTCTGCCTGCCTGTCTGCTAATGACAATATTCAATACACAGCTGCTATCACTGACCACATGCAATTTGAACTTAACACCAATCAGGCTATACACCATAAACAAAATGCATTGATTTATGGCCCGAGTTCGGTCTCTGTCACATTATGTAATTACACAGACAGGCAGGTGTGATACTTGAACACATGACATGTTATGATGTCTGTTGATTGCAAAATGTTATACACAAAAAATGAGCATGTATTTACAAAACCCAACATCTCTATATATACACAGACAATGAGCCGTGACGGCATCTGCAAATGAACCAGCCGTTACACTTGAGTGCACACCCACCCGCTCTGACTGGGTTCGGTATCCCGGCTGCTTCGTTTCTTGGGAAGTAAACCGAAGTACACAATATTGCACTTTTGATTTGCGATTGTACGCTTATAATTTTGTTTATATGTTTTTTCATAACCAGCAATGTATATTATATGTCATGAATAAGTGATGACTCGCCTACCGGCTCGGATGACACTGCTACAAAGAAGCGTACATCAGACCGTATTACCCTCGAGAGAAGCATACAACTTATAGTATTTCAGAATCGAACTTTACATTTTTAGACACAGAACCTTCACATTCAGCACGACTCCCCCACACTCCCGACTTGAAACACCCCAGGACATCAACTCACATTGATCCATGTGATGGTTGGGCCCGCTCCACATTGAAGCATACTACGATTAGGGAAGATTTACTGTATTTTCCAGAAAATGCAGTGGATAAAATCAAACCAGCAAGGACTTTCCTCCCACAGCAGTTTATTGAAATACTGTCCAAAATCTCGTTAAATCTCCGACCCACGGCTTTACGAGACATATCTGAGACCTAACTCCTGCAGTCTTAGACTGTTCGTATGGATGTATACATTTGTGTTAAATACTACACCCAGGAGGAACACATAGTACGGTGGTTCTTCAGCTTGAGATGTTAGTGCGATCATCTGCTTCAAGGACAATGGGATCCCGGCCAGAATACAGGCCACCAGCGTCCCACGCCTGTTGTCAGAGACGACTAACGGGTTTAGGGCGACTGAAGAATACAGGCCACCAGCGTCCCACGCCTGTTGTCAGAGACGACTAACGGGTTTAGGGCGACTTAAAGAATACAGGCCACCAGCGTCCCACGCCTGTTGTCAGTGACGACTAACGGGTTTAGGGCGACTAAAGAATACAGGCCACCAGCGTCCCACGCCTGTTGTCAGAGACGACTAACGGATTTAGGGCGACTAAAGAATACAGGCCACCAGCGTCCAACGCCTGTTGTCAGAGACGACTAACGGGTTTAGGGCGACTGAAGAATACAGACCACCAGCGTCCCACGCCTGTTGTCAGAGACGACTAACGGGTTTAGGGCGACTGAAGAATACAGGCCACCAGCGTCCCACGCCTGTTGTCAGAGACGACTAACGGGTTTAGGGCGACTAAAGAATACAGGCCACCAGCGTCCTACGCCTGTTGTCAGAGACAACTAACGGGTTTAGGGCGACTGAAGAATACAGGCCACCAGCGTCCCACGCCTGTTGTCAGAGACGACTAACGCCGACGTCACTCACTACTACTACAATGACAACTACCAAATAATAAACTGATAATCATCAACAATGACAACAACTACGACTACCGCTCCGACTACTACACAACTTTCTAATAGAACAGCACATTTCACAAGGGCCGACCAGTATGTCCTATATTCAGAGGGTTTCTGGTCATATTGAAACATATCCATAAATAACGTGAACACATTCCCGTCTCATACAAGTACCGGCACGAACAAATACCTTTAGAAATGTTAGCTGTCACAGGAAATAAACAACCAGAGTGTCACGGCGCAACATACAAACAGGTAGTGTTCGAAACCAAAAAAAATAACAGATTGAAATGAATACGGATTGAAGTATGGATACGTTTATCCTCTGCTATGAATCTGTTGAATGGTTCATGCATGTGTCTAGGTGTACTATGAATCTGTTGAATGGTTCATGCATGTGTCTAGGTGATAGCATGCATGATTTGAAAGGGTGGAAATTTACAAGAACTCAGACATGCTGTCAGCGCAGACAAAAAAAAATGTTGTAGTCAAGCGTGGACGCTAGTTGACTGATAAGCACATCAACACCGAACAGCCTTGTGCCTTTCAGACGGTGCAGATCTCACTTATATACTGACGTAATCACGTATTAAAACGTCTCTTCTGTGTTGGATTTGCTAAACATTTAATGTTGTATTTGTATATGTATACTGTAATTAGAACAAATGAAAGAAAAAGAAAGCAATATTGGCACTACACCCAAGTTGGGAACTCCTGACAAATCACTTGGTCACCGTTCTGCGAATGAGCCACTGTAGCATTTGCCCAGACGCCTTTCATTAACAATAGTTTAGACGGTTCATGAGGATATGTGTGGACTTAAATTGCGCTAGCTTCGACACACAAGATGGACGCGCAAAGTGCTAACAATATTACACAGGTTATTGGTTAATTCAGTTCGCAGTCTATATTCATTCTAGGCTTTCTGGGGAGCACACAAGCCAAATTACCAGCGAGACACTGGAAAGTTAACAGTTATAATACGGGTATCTGGTCTCTCCTTGCTGCACAGAAGGACATTACAAACAAAGTCACTCGAAAAAAAGGGATACCACAATGTTACACATGCTTGATTGTGCGTCAGGGCCAACGTCGTAGAAGCTGCCAGGCGTCGTGCTGCCAAGCACGGTCACCCATCCTAGACCTCTCCTCGACAACCCAGAGGTGTAGAAGATGCCACACTATACGCTGCCGCATGACGTGTGTACTCACCTGGAGCAATGTAGTGCTGGTGTTCCAGTTTTATTTGTGGACTTTTCCTATGCCTTTAAAACTATACAACCGCATTTACTCATCTTTATGCCTGTAAATAAAATTATTCTACTATCTTTATGAGGAGGTTTGTATGTTCGACATATAACAGTTTGTTACTGTAAACGGCAATTATAAATGTGAATTTATTGGTGATATTAGTACACCAAGCTTCTGTTTATAGAGTGCTACGTTTATTTATGACTACTAGTTCTGTAATCTCTTTATGTTTGTATTGTAGTGATATGTTTTCCATGTATACCGTTTACATGTATGGACCTCTTATGATGTAAGACAAATTTCCTTCGGGACAATAAAGTATTATCTTATCTTATCTGATACTAATTACTTTGTAATACTGAAATATTTAGAGTTATAGAGTTTCACCATTAGGCTACCCCACCGCCCCAAGTTGAGAAGGAAACCTGCATGTGCCGCCTTTATTTGGACCAACTACATGACACCATGGTAATGTAAGTGTTGGATTCCGGAGGGGTAATATGGGGGAACTGCGGGATTTGTCAACTGTAAAAAACGTCCTACATCATGCAGTAGTACGTTTCTTCTTTTAAGACTTGTAGACTGACATTTGGGCATTGAAATAAAGTTTCTGTTTTTGAAAATATATATCCACAAGATGACTGACTGACTGTCTGACAGGTGCAAACAGCAGGATTAATCATATAATATATATGTATATCGGCAGATAACTGCACGAAGTATATTTGGCCTCGCTATATTTTGATGAAAGCTATTTTTTGTTTGTTTGTTTGTTGTTTATCGCCGCACTGAGCAATACTACGTACAACTATATGATCGATGTACGTAAATAATAGAGTCTGGACCACATAATCCTGTGATCGACAGCATGCGCATCAATCGATGCAGTTTTAACCCGGATCTTAACGGGTCTTATATAAACGTTTAAGATGGGCATTAAGAAGCTTATTAATTAAATTACCTGTTAGCACGCAAAGTTTATATATGTACATTTTAAGATACTATTTACAAATAACTGTAAATTTTGAATGTATTTTCACCATCTTCAGTCTTTCAGGTTTCGTTTTTTAAAAATTTGTATACCGTTCATCCTTTCTGGTTCTGCATCCTTGAATGGGGAATCCCAAAAAAATCGGTCAAAATCTATTTATATCACTAGTAAATGACGTCACTTGTAATATAACCAATCACATGTAGCTATAGATTTGCTCCGTATTTTGGCAACAAACGTTTAACTACTACTAGCAGAAAACTAATAACCTTCAGTCTGATCGGTAAGTTAAAAATCAACATAAATGCGGGGCGTATCAGAATACATATCACTGATATGTTATTTTTTTATCTACAAAATGTTAGATACATGTATGAAATGGTTTGGGATGATACTTGTGCTAAATCTAAATGGCTGTACATTCAAAAGTAAAAACAGTCTTAAAGGAACATCATGTAAGGCAGCAGGTGCGTGTTCGCCCCGTGGTCCGCTACAACTGAGACACGTCATTCAAAGTGACTTCCGCGAGAATTGAACTAGCAGTAAGAATTTGCATATGTCAGAGCCACATCACGATAAGCTGAATAGTGACTTTGATATAGATTTATCTGTGTCGGTTCCACAGCTGGACAACACGCCGACGAACAAAATGGCAGAAGCCGGGCGTTTTAAACTCTTTGTATGTGCTGGAGGAATATTCGTCTGCTACTTTTATTACGGAATCCTGCAAGAAAAGATGTAAGTTTTCTTAATAAATATTGCAAAGCATGTAAAATAGATGCAATGATTAAAGTAATTATGCGGAGACATATGTAATATATTCTGTAACTTCTGATTTACACGTGTGTTGTAAACTTCTGTCAACAGCTGGATTACAAAACTCTTTATCATCTCCGTATTTTGTATTGATATTATGTTGTTGTCTGTACAGGACATTGTATATAGTTTTGGTTTGCTCACCTGGACAAGCGTGGAAAATGGAATATTGCTCTGAGAGCCTAGTATCCAGTGTACCCACACGGACCGACAAGGAACTAGACTAGAGTACGTACGCCCCCTAAACCAATATGTCACGGACTCTGGGGCTCTTGAATTTTACAGTGTGCCACAATCCATTGACAGAGTGAGCCAAACAATATTTATGCAAAAGGTTTATTGATGTCCTGATTATCATACTGTATCAGGCTGCCTGGCTAGTTGACAGGTTATATATGATTTTTTTTCAAGGCATGAAATTCAGCATTAAAGCTTTTCCTCTTAGTCCTGTAAACAGGTCCAGTTTTCTACTAATGTAAAGTGGGAAATCCTACATTCTTATTTGGCAACTGTTTCTGACATCCGTGGTAGGCTAGGTGCCTAATGTAAGCCTCTGAACAGGTCCAGATGGACCCCTGGTTGATCATGTACTCTAGGTACTAGCATTAACAACCATTTACTGCATCACCTGTCAGAACTGGCTACAGTCAGTGACAAAATACATCACTTATGTCCGCCAAGTTGACACTGTGACCTCATTTTACCATGTTCTGTACAATGTGAGCAGACCCATGCAGCCATTCGTCCCCTGAATCCACCAAGGGTTTATCATTCTTATGGTAGTTACAGTCAGCAAGATGTATTTAGATTTATGTTTTGTCTATTTATTGAAAAATGAGTTTATGAAACTATGACATCTCAGACAGTGATAAGGAACCTGGGGTAACTAAAATATATCCACACTATGTGTTGTCAGTCCATGTGTCGTATGCTCTTTGATTACTTGTCCTTACAATGATACTAGTTTTATTACATAATTCAAGATGTGAGGATTTCAAAATTCTGGTGAAATTACTCTACTTTTAAGTGTGAGTTTCTAAACAGTTTTCCCTTTCTAACTTAAGATTACTGTAAACTATTTTCAAAAGTATGGTGACCTCGCTATTGTGACATGTAAGTGTAGCAGTGATGTTTTTGTGTTGTACAGTTTTGTGGGTAATAGTATTCATGATATTCTCTTTGCCTGTTGTCTGGTTCGGTCAGGTTGATGAACATGCATATCACATGCATTTCATGTTGGTGGGAATCTTTGTGATAATATTGAGGATTTGATTGGCTGGTTGGATCATCTGTTTCAATAAGATGATACCTCATGGTGTCTGGTGGTCGTCATTGCATTCTGAGTGCCGAACATGTGAGGCCAAGTCAGAGTTGTCACAAGGTTTTCATCACGTTGCTGTCGGGCTGGAAATAACGGAGTTGCTTTGTCTTATAGACGGGTGAGCTTATTTTGAATACGACATGTTAAACATGTACCTTTCATTCTCATATGGAGAACATACATACTATATTGAATTCCTATTACCGGGGTACAAATCCAGTATCGTTATTGAAGTGAAATAATTCAAAGGGAAAACTTCATTATCAATGCATTTGTTTATTGATCGTGCGTTACATGTTTTTCAGTTGCCTCCCTTTTTCTCATATGTGATAATGAATCTGTGATACCACTGTGATACAATGCAATGTGATTTATATTTATAATGAAATGTTACAGGGTATTTTCTTCCTCTCGAATAAATGGATTCACACCCCACAGCGAGTCGTGTTTTCTCGGCGTGAGCTGTTACATAAGTATGGTGACCTCGCTATTGTGTTTCTGTATCATGACCCAGTGTATTGGACCAGCTCTACCATTGATCTAAATCTAGGTTTCAAGAGTGATACATTTACTTTGGGATGATAAAAGTCCTAAACATCAGACAGGTGTATTCTAATGATCAGGGAAGCTACTTCATCAGCACTCGTAGTTCTGTCACACTGTAAAATGCAATCAGTGAATACTTGTGCAGTATAATACTAGAATATCAGAACCCTAGACTGACAATCTATGGACAAAGTACAAAATCATTCTTAGTTGTCATGCTTTTAAAATGTCAGTCTACTAAAGGCATATATCCAATATGGAGTACACCGTATACATTATATGCCTCCTTTAGAAAGATCTAATACAGAATATGTAACAGACCTGTATATGGTGTGAGGGGTGTGGTGTGAGGTGTGTGATGTGCTATCCTGTGCATAGAGCTCAGGTCACAAATCATTTGAAGTTATTAAGCAACATTGAGCGTGGAGAGTTCTTACATGGGTGACTCCTGATGGTTTGGCAGATTGACTCCTGAGAGTTTCTAGGACTTCAGTCCTGCCCCACAACGAAGCACATGTGATACATGTGATATCACGTCAGGAAAGTGAAGTTTTTCACCCATGTGACCCAGTAGCGAATGGGTACCCGATGGGATTAGTTCTGTGACTGATATAAATAACCTTCTAGCAGCTTGGGTTATCCGGGGTAATGATAATCAGATTGTGATTTCAGCATCGTTGAGCACCGTATGGTGAAATCCAGGTGCTATACAAATCCATAATTATCATATATGTGCATCAGTTACATTACATGTGAAGACCTATCTGCCAGCATTATGATTATGCTGCAGCCAGTCTGGGGGTCATCATGACAATACCTATCTGCCAGCATTATGATTATGCTGCGGCCAGTCTGAGGGTCGTCATGACATTACCTATCTGCCAGCATTATGATTATGCTGCAGCCAGTCTGAGGGTCATCATGACATTACCTATCTGCCAGCATTATGATTATGCTGCAGCCAGTCTGAGGGTCATCATGACATTACCTATCTGCCAGCATTATGCTTGCAGCCAGTCTGCCAGTCATCAAGTCATGAATAAAAGCACTAGTATGATCTGAACTGTGAAACTGTGGAGTTAAGTGCTGTTGGTTATCATAGGAACAATGGGGATTGCACTTCATGCCTCACACTGTCACAGACAAAGGGTCGAATTACGTTCAGTGTAAGGTAATTAGTTAGGCATTGCTTATGTCTCTGTTATCAACCATTGACTTATCAGGTCCAGACTTGATTATTGATCATGTTTATATGCTGTCATTGCTTTTTGTTGTTGTCAAACTGCTACTGAAAACTAGACTACAAATAAATTTTGTATAAAATATGCTTGCTAAACTTTCTACCAGAATAGATAAACACAGGTCATGTTGCTTTGAGCATGTTGAGGACTAATTTGTCCACTCGACTGTCTTCTATCCCTGGTAACATGTCTGTCCGTATTGGTGAATGTTGTATCTACCTGCCTCACTATGTGGAAGGAAATGTCATTTCTACCACTGTCGTTTAAAGGCAGTAGATGTAGAGAACATGTATGTCCGTATTGGTGAATGTTGTATATCTACCTGCCTCACTATGTGGAAGGAAATGTCGTTTCTACCACTGTCGTTTAAAGGCAGTAGATGTAGAGAACATGTATGTCCGTATTGGTGAATGTTATATCTACCTGCCTCACTATGTGGAAGGAAATGTCATTTCAACCACTGTCATTTAAAGGCAGTAGATGTAGAGAACATGTATGTCCGTATTGGTGAATGTTATATCTACCTGCCTCACTATGTGGAAGGAAATGTCATTTCTACCACTGTCGTTTAAAGGCAGGGGATGTAGAAACACAGAGTAAAGTGAATCGGAGCAACATGCAGTTTCAGATATGGCCTGCAACTTTCAAGATGGGATACCGGTAGTTATTTTATTCACCGTGACTAGCCAACCTGGAAGTAACCATGTTTCTGATTGTGATTCAATAGGTCTGCTTTTACCCTGCTTGTAACTGTGGTAACCAATGTTATATCTGTGAATCATTTTCTTCAGCACAAAAGGGAAGTATGGAGAAGGCGAATCCCAGGAGAAGTTCCGCTTCACCCTCGCCCTGGTGTTTGTGCAGTGCATCATAAATGCTATCTTCGCTTTGTGTGGTGAGTTACAATTTCCCTTGTATGCCAAGCCAACACACCTACTATTGACCTACTTGTAGTGCTACTAGTAGTGTATGGCAATATGAGGCTCAGGCTACTGGAGCGAGTCATGGAAACTACTGGTGGTGGTGTATGACAATATGAGGCTCAGGCTACTGGGATGAGTCATGGAAACTACTGGTTGGGGTGTATGACAATATGAGGCTCAGGCTACTGGGACGAGTCATGGAAACTACTGGTGGTGGTGTATGACAATAAGTCTTTAAATTGTATGGACCTTTAGCATGTTTAGTCTGTCATTATTTGATTTTATTCTATGAACCGTTTAGTTTTTCAATACCAATGTATTTACAGCTCGAAAGATCTTTCAGCAGGAGCGTGACTCAACTCCACGCACGCTGTATGCCGTGTGCTCCCTCACCTACCTGGGTGCCATGCTTGCCAGTAACCATGCTCTCCAACACGTTGCCTACCCAACTCAGGTAGGTAATAGGAAGTTATCATTACAGTGTCATCAGTGTTGTATTCATCACCCCATGCCTGGATAACGCGTAACAATCACCTTTACGGATGCTCAGCATATGTTGATTGGCATTTTAGAAGGTGATGAATTGTAAGAAAGGTATGACAACTTCTTTGTTATATTATGATGCGATGTTTCGGGAGAGATTTGCTTGACAACTGTTTCAGAATCTTTACTGAAATGTTGCACCTTTATCATGATAATGTGATAAAGATGTCGTCATCCTTAAAGGATAATACCTTTCTACGTGTACAGTCGTTATAAAGATGGTTTGACATTCAACAACTGCTGTAAGGGCTTGAAGAGGTGAAACTATGGCATGCATTCTTAATCCAACTGTTAATCAAAATGAAGGTGTTTGTGTGACAGCCTTCCACTGGAGATACTAAACACAAAGAACTTGCACCAATCAGTTACATAACTCATGTAGGACACAATGTTTGTTATTGGTCCAGAGAGTGTTCATGGTGTATGTATTCCTTCCTTTGTAAACTTATTATTTAACAGCCTGAGTAATCTATTTTTCATAGAATAAAGTGACAGTGTTCTTTTAAGAGTTGGATATGTTTATGGCTGATCCTGCCACTTTCAAATAAAAAATTGAATTTCTGGTGGCGTCAGTGTCAGCTGTGGTGAATATTTAGGAGATAAACATACTGTGTTGGAAAATCAGAGGTATAAAGGGAAATTATAATAGCTCTAAATTTGATTTAAAACTGAATGTGTAGCGTGAGGTTTTAAATAAAAAAAGTTAGAGCTATTATAATTTCGTTATATACTTCTGATTTTCCAACACAGTACGTTTATCTCCATTCTACTATAACCTTGTTATCCCCCGCAGCACGTTTTGCGGGGGGTATTAAAATGGACTCCGTCCGTGTAATAATAGCAGCGTCGTCGTCCATCCATCCGTCCGTCCGTGCACATTTGTCTTTTCCGGAGCAGAACTCTAAAACCGTTCAATATTTCTTCACCAAACTTGGCACATAGATAGATCTGGTGGTGTACTGGTGCCTTTTGGTAGTTTTGGAATTCTGAATAAAATATTTTTGGCATTTCCATGGCAACAAGTTTGACATAGACTGAAATTGGTGATAGTGCTCCTTTCTGGAGCAGAACTTTAAAAACCTTTCAATACTCTCCTTCCACTTTTCTATATACACACCTAAATATTTGACATAATCATAACTTGTAGACATAATCATGAAGAGTATTTTGCCATTGCGGGGGATATTGATGACTTTGTCTTCTTGTTAAGATTTTAATACACTACCGGCTCAGGTGACACTGCTACAAAGAGGCTACATCAGACTGTATTACCCTTGAGAGAAGCATACAACTTTTAGTATTTACATGTACTATCTCCACTATTGAGTATATTTATTTGTACTCCACTGTTATCTTGATGTTATGTAATTTTACATTTTTTTCTTCAGGTACTTGGTAAATCCATCAAGCCAATTCCTGTTATGATTTTGGGAGTTCTTTTGGCAAGGAAGCGTTACCCCATGGCCAAGTACTTCTGTGTGCTCCTCATTGTGATGGGAGTGGCCATGTTCATGTACAAGGACCAGGGCCACAAAGCTAAGGGAGATCACTCTGGCCTGGGCATAGGCGAGTTTCTGCTGGTAAGTGCTCATTTTCCATGTATTGCTGCAACACAGGTAAGATCTGAACATCTTGCATGTGCTGTGCTGGAGTTTCAGTGCAGTCAGGAGGGATGGTACAAGTAGAGTTTGCTGCTCCTCTGCTTCATGCAGTGTGAATGTTCGAGTCAAAAAGAATTTGAGTGAGCGCAATGTTAGACCTTCTAGACTGGCTAGCCATTGTGATCCATGGGAGATCAGTGAACATTGACTGATGGATCATTTTGTGCTCATTGTTAGTATTTGGTCATAATTAGATCTCCTTTACCTCCCTACAGCTAGTGTCCTTGACCTTGGATGGCCTGACAGGAGCATCCCAGGATAAGATGAGAACGGAACACAAGACGGGCGCATACAGCATGATGCTGTTTGTCAATGCCTTTTCCATCATCTGGCTAGCCATTGGTGAGATACACTGCCTTTGTCCTTCAAGGGTGAACTCTGTGGGGCACTGCCTCATCTCATCTCACCTCACCTCACCTCACACATGTTTTAGAGTTTGAAATTGCTTGTAGCCACTGTTGCCTAGCAACAGCTAACAGCCACCATAACATAAAGCAAACATTTTTCCAATCACTGTAACTATATTGTAACAGGTGGTTCATTTCATAACTTGTTATAGACATTTCGGATCTTATTTTATTGCTCTTAATCTTTATAGTATATCTGATGAATCATTCATTCTGCGATAGTTTCCCTGGACCCTGTGACAGAATGTGGGCTAAGCTTAACAAAGTGGTTTTAAAAGGAACTGTGTGTTTGTACAGGTCTTGTGACAACAGGCGAGGGTCTGGAGTTCCTGAGTTTCGCTGGTCGCAACCCCTCCGTGTACTACAACATGATTGCATTCTCAATAGCAAGTGCCTTAGGACAGGTGAGTATTTGTCTTGTGGAAATGTTCAGGGGGATTGTGTAAGTCTACCATCCATCTCGTGTTAGAACAACCAAGGAGATCAGATAAGTCTCCCATCACTCTTGTTGAACCGTTTCAGGGGATAGGGTAGGTCTGCCATCACTCTTGTTGAACCGTTTCAGGGGATAGGGTAGGTCTGCCATCACTCTTGTTGAACCGTTTCAGGGGATAGGGTAGGTCTGCCATCAGTCTTGTTGAACCGTTTCAGGGAATTGGGTAGGTCTTCCATCAGTCTTGTTGAACCGTTTCAGGGGATAGGGTAGGTCTGCCATCAGTGTTGTTGAACCATTTCAGGGGATAGGGTAGGTCTGCCATCAGTCTTGTTGAACCGTTTCAGGGGATAGGGTAGGTCTGCCATCAGTTTGGTGTAGAACCATTTCAGGGGATCGGGTAGGTCTCCCATCAGTCTGGTGTTGAAACACTTGAAGCTGTATAGAAATAGTCCATCAATGATTTCCGTGTGGATACTTTATTTTCATGTTTTCTACCCTCAGACGTTCATCTTCATCACCGTGACAACATTTGGACCTCTCACATGCTCCATCGTCACGACAACAAGAAAGTTCTTCACTATACTAGGATCTGTGTTGATATTTGGCAACCCCATGCTGTCTCGACAGTGGGTTGGAACCCTGCTGGTGTTTATTGGGTTGGGACTAGACTCTGTGTATGGCAAGGAGAAAAAGAAGAATAAGTGATCTGACGTCTACGAGCTGAATGTTGAACCATAGGATGTTTCAATGTGATTATTGAGTGGATGAATGCAGATAAATTCAGTTTGGTGTAGAACCATTTCAGGGGATAGGTCTGAGGTGGAGTCTCCCATCAGTCTGGGTGTTGAAACAGTCTGAATGTGGCTGTATAGAAATAGTCCATCAATGATTTCCGTGTGGATACTTTATTTTCATGTTTTCTACCCTCAGACGTTCATCTTCATCACCGTGACAACATTTGGACCTCTCACATGCTCCATCGTCACGACAACAAGAAAGTTCTTCACTATACTAGGATCTGTGTTGATATTTGGCAACCCCATGCTGTCTCGACAGTGGGTTGGAACCCTGCTGGTGTTTATTGGGTTGGGACTAGACTCTGTGTATGGCAAGGAGAAAAAGAAGAATAAGTGATCTGACGTTTACGAGCTGAATGTTGAACCATAGGATGTTTCAATGTGATTATTGAGTGGATGAATGCAGATAAATGATGAGGAATGGAGCTGCTTTACTGAATGTCGGACCATGCTTCCAGGGACCAGTGTATTTATTTGTTGTCATAGTTAATGTGTACTTTCTCTGACCAGTGAACATGCTGACTGGACTGGTTTTACTGAATGTGGATGTTGTGCTTATCGTTTTTATTGCATCCCTGAGGTTTTTATTACACACTTATCAGATATTTCATCATGTTTCATGCTTGTTGATTTATAGCCAGAATAATTTACAGAAATTCAGAAACAGGTATTTAATGTGTTAATATGTCAAGTATAATGTAAGATGTAGCCATATCAAAGTTGTGCCTATAGACTTATTTTGTGAGTTGCATGTTTCCTGTTTAGAACAATGGTTGGTGATCATCACGTGTTCTGGCAGGTACTGTTTGTTACCAGGATGCCTACCTCACACGATCAGAGACATAACATTCGCTGTACCACACTTGTTAACACAGTCAATCTGAACGTTTTGTTAGAGTTGACACGCACTTGCAGTTGTTTCATGATGTAAAACTTTCCACTTTCTGAAACTTTCTGAACATCTCACCCCTGTCACTGGACGATCACTTTTTACTTGACCATCATATCTACATCACATCGGAAGGAAATTCATTAAAATTCGGATATGTAGACAAAACATATATTTTCGTCAATTAAATAATTTTTTTGCCAAAAAGAGATGACAAGAAGAAATGTAATGGTGATAATTTGGAAATCTGTTGGAGGTATGTGAAATTAAAGCTTCACTCTTGATTAGTGTCATATATCTTTCTCAGAATCCATCATGATTTTAAGTACAATGTATATAGTTGACTACTAATTTTGATCCTTGAAACTATTTACAACACTTTGGGGTTGGCTTCTCTGGTGTTGGTCCAAGACCGGCACGTGTTCGTGTCCCTGCATAGGTCCATTGTGGGAACTCCGTGTCTGGAGTCCCGGTGGCATGGGTATTGGTAACTACGTGTATCAACAACAGTGTTCAGCTTGAAAGATTGTGTACTCATGAGTTTCATAGTGGCTTACAAGTAACTGACTACCTCGTGTTGTTAAACAGACTGAAAATGCAACATTCTGTGAGTGAGTGAGTATGGTTTTACGCCGGTTTTAGCAATATTCCAGCAATATCACGGCAGGGGACACCAGAAATGGGCTTCACACATTGTGCCCGTGTAGGGATTCAAACCCAGGTCTTCGGTGTGACGAGTGGACGCTTTAACCACTAGGCTACCCCACGGTCCCCAACATTCTGTGCCTTTACACAGGTTAAACCTAGTGTATGTCTGGTAAAGGTGATTGTTCCTATACGTGGTGATGATAATGTTGTTATATACTTATTACATATATTTGTTTGGTAACCTGGTTACATGGTGTATGGCTTGCATGCTGGTTTGATGGATGAACAATTTCCTTTCTTACTACAAGAACCTTGCTGTATTTGTATCTTTCACTGTCTCAGGGCTGCATATTGTTCACTTAGGAATTTTGGCTGAGAACATTTTAAAATTTTGAACTCATAAAAGTTAATTTTTCTGTTTGAACCCGATCACTTTTCGAAAATTTGTTTGTCTGGCTGAAAAATAGATTTGGGTCATATTTTTTACAAATGGAAATTGTATGTCATAGTTTTCCTCAAAACCAGAGTATTTTTCTACCTTCTCAACCTACAAAGTTCTCATTGAGGTGTATAGGCATAGCACTGTGGTTAATGTGCTCAGTCATCTCACTGAAGACCCAGGTTTGATTCCATAACAAATGTGGGTCTCCTTTTACTGGTTCTCCCTTCCTATTGATATAGTGTGCAAATAGTTTGGTATCTTATTCATAAAATGGGATAGGACCATCTATGAAGTATACTTGTATTATGCTATCCAAAGTCCATACATAGACTAGTCATCAGTTTTTCATGCTATTATTATGTTCTTAAACTCAAACTGTTTCAGTTCACACAAGTCTGTTATTCAAGGTGTTTAGACGTAGCTTGTAAATGTTGCTAGGACAAAGTGCCAAGATCTCTAAGTGGACGGTTGACACAGGTGATGCAAGTCATTAAGCTATGTTGCATCCCTTGGGAATGGGAAACACCTGTGATTGTTGGTTCAATCTTAATTCAACCAGGCTTGTTAGTGCATTTCACAATAGTGATAAACATACGAGATCTACATCACCTCGAACTTCCCCCACATGAACCCTCAAAGCAGTGTTAAAACCACCCTGCTTGCCGTCTCCTCTCTCCAAGTGGAATTGAACATAATGATATATTCCTCATCAGTAAGTACAACTTATTACATATTCATTATAACTCTACACTATTGTCCTGTGTCAGAGCTCACACATCTGTATATTGTGATGTCACAACTTTGCTGATACTGGTGATAAATTTATGTGAATTTTAGCCTTGTGTTGTTTTCTGTGAGATGGTCCATCCATACTGAGTCAGAGCCCAGTCAAACATTGCAATGTAATCCAGCTGGAGCACCTTGGAGGCCAATACTGAGCCCTCTCATCCATAGCAGAAAGTGGCCCTTGTCCCAGCAGATGAATCATCATCAATATCATACAATTTATGGTCCTTTTTGTTGTTACAAAGGATTAAACAAGGACTGGTTGGCTCGGAGTCAGCATACTTTGTCTGACCATGACTGGGGTGACGTGGTATCTCCAGTCCAGTACAGGTACACATGCATGCAACAATTTGGAATGTGATGTTAACCCCATCTCAGATCACAAAACATTCAGTATCAAAGACGGCATTATTCCTCGTCCAGGTCTTTGTTTGGCACACTGGTGGTACAGCAACAACACACCTGTACACACAATCATCTAAACCGTCTTGGACAAGTCTTACACCATGTGGAAGTCCCAGTATTATATCAGGAACATTGCCTCTATGGTGTTCAATACGTTATCAACAACTAGAGCTGGGTATGGTTCACGTTATGCAGATCGATAATCAGATCGCAGTAATCAATCAATAATTGACTGTAATCATAAACCCCACCACAAATCTCATATGGGCAACACAGTGATAACATTGAGCAAACAAAACTGGCACTGATTAATATCACGATTAAGACCGTCAAGGATACTTCCTGTTGAGACACGCATGAGACTATTCTGTTAACATTACAGTTTTACAGTCAGAAAACTGCATCAGTTGTTTATGTTGATATCGATCATTTGACAGATTATTCCATCAATTGCTACAGCACTGTAAACAACTGTTGCTCCTTTTGAAAGGCAAAACAAATGACCTGGTGAAATGGCTGAATGACTTACGTTATTGTGTGTACAATGACAGTGTTAGCTGTTCCTCGTAATATCAGATTTGTCTGGTCCACAGATAGTCAATATTGCTCAGTGTGAAGTAAGCATCAAGCCACAAAACGGACACAAGGTGAGTTGCACTTCAAGTTTATTGAAGAGCTCCCTGGGCTCGACTCCGGACCAGGTGATGAAGGTAGTCTCTAGCATTATGAGTTTATACAATGATCACATAACACACATCTTCAGAAAAATAAAACAGCTTCTGGAATACTTTAAAACTATACACATTTACCAACAGCCTTGGGCAGCACAAAACACCGTCACGAGTACGAAGTCATCACACAAGAACAGTGCCAACATACACTTGTGTTAAATCATTGTAAGACAGGGCCCAATCTCATCAAAATCAGGTCCTCATTCTTGCTAAGTTTTTACATCTGAGAAAACAACAACTAATGTAATGATAACCATTTCAAGTTTGATGATTAGAAAACTCACTCTCAGCCACTTCCCTGACCTGGTGACAGAGACTGTGACTGTACAGAACGTTGTTCCAACATGACATGTACTGGCATGTCCTCAGATCATTGTTTAATATTACAACTAAGATCGGACTTTAATGAGATTGGGCCGGTGCACATGCAAAGAGTAATCTTAGCACTAAGACCATACATTTTAACTCCAATACTTAAAATGTAGTGATAATGGTTAGGGTTAGACACACTAATCCCTTTAACCATACATTTTAACTCCTGTACTTATGATAGTGCTAATAGTTTTCTAAGACACGCAATATTGAAGACCATACATCTTAACTCCTGTACTTAAAATATACTGCTAATGGTTGTCTTAGACATGCAATCCCTAAGACCATCTATTTTAAGTCCTATACCTAAAACATCACTGTATCGTGAGTCAGGAGGATTCACCAGTGTACATCACTGCATCGTGAGTCTGGAGGATTCACCAGTGTACATCACTGTATCGTGAGTCAGGAGGATTCACCAGTGTACATCGCTGCATCCTCAGTCAGGAGGATTCACCAGTGTACATCGCTGCATCATGAGTCAGGATTCACCAGTGTACATCGCTGCATCCTCAGTCAGGAGGATTCACCAGTGTACATCGCTGCATCGTGAGTCTGGAGGCTTCAGTGTACATCACAGGATAACACTCACAGTGTTACAAACCACTATTCATTCTGTTTGGATGATATCCTTTATCCTTTCACAAAATATTTTATAAAAAATAAACGGTACATCAACAAGGAAACAGCGGTGACTACAGTGACTGCAATACGTCTATGTTAAAGTATAGGTGTTACGGTCATCTTGGTGCCACAAAGAGCACAGGTGTGACAACTGCAATACGTCTATGTTAAAGTATAGGTGTTACGGTCATCTTGGTGCCACAAAGAGCACAGGTGTGACAACTGCTATACGTCTATGTTAAAGTATAGGTGTTACGGTCATCTTGGTGCCACAAAGAGCACAGGTGTGACAACTGCAATACGTCTATGTTAAAGTATAGGTGTTACGGTCATCTTGGTGCCACAAAGAGCACAGGTGTGACAACTGCAATACGTCTATGTTAAAGTATAGGTGTTACGGTCATCTTGGTGCCACAAAGAGCACAGGTGTGACAACTGCAATACGTCTATGTTAAAGTATAGGTGTTACGGTCATCTTGGTGCCACAAAGAGTACAGGTGTCATAACTGCAATACAATCATCATTAGAAAATGCTAATTATGTGAGTTCTGATTGTCTTAGTGCTAACACCAATTTGTGACCTCAGGTCCAGATAGTGGGAACTCAATACACCAATGATCCGAGGATAAGAGCTCAATAAATCTTGCACACCCACAAGGGTTAATCTGGACATCATAGAGGCCCAGGACTGCAGCCAGTGTCTAACTGGATTAAAAAAACACCCTCTACTGGACCAATTAAAGCAAATCAGCATTTATGTTCAGTTTTCCATTCTTGCTATGAATGACAAATGTAAAAATACCCGAATGCAAGAAAAGACTTGTGATATTTCCCAAGAGACCAGCACCCAGGTAGGAGGTGTAGGCTGTCAGTCAGACGGCTACATTTGATGAGAGGTGCCATTAAACATTGTTTCATCCCTTCACCCCACAGTGCACCAAACATTACCCAGCTGTTGTGAGACTGCAGCTGGACTGTGAATTCTTTATAACATTCCGGAAATATCCTCTAAAAACCAGTTCAAGTTAAACTGGAAGCAGTTGATGTTCCGTTTATGATGTGCTTCAGTATATGTGTTACTGTTGCCATGGAGATGACTATGATGCTGCCTGATATTTGTGACATTAAAAAATTGGTGCGATGCAAAAAACAAGTGCAAAAAATACAAACTCAACAATTCAAGTCAGCTTGGAGTCTTGTGCGATGACAATCGGTGTGTGGCACATGATGAGATGAACACATACGAAGGGGAGAAGCATCCTTTCCAGACTAGACCCACACATACATGATGTGAACACCCCATGGTGGTGTGAACTCTGTCACACATGATGTGAACACCCCATGGTGGTGTGAACACTGTCACACATGGTGTGAACACCCCATGGTGGTGTGAACACTGTCACACATGATGTGAACACCCCATGGTGGTGTGAACACTGTCATACATGGTGTAAACACCCCATAGTGATGTGAACACTGTCATACAAGATGTGAATGAGATCAGTCACATTCAGGCATTAAGCAACAACATGGTGCTTTGGTTACATCACAAATGTGGAGTAATGATCTTCACAACAGCTGTGTCACTCATGAAGGTGTAGAACATAACAAGCTTTTGAATCTACTCAAACACACCTGATTCTAAATGCAGAGAAGGGTCTACAAACCAATCTTCAAATCTAAGTGCCCATGAGGTTTGTAGCAGACAAAATGCAGCCATGGCAAGCATAAGATTCTTTAATCTTGTCACAGACTTTGTGCATGTTGACTGGTACCATTCACCACAGGTCAGCAGCAGGATACAACACAAAATATATACTGGACAAAATAAGTTAGGGGTATTGGTATTTTTATGATTGATATTTTATCAATGTGTCAATGAATAAATACATCATTATCCATAATTTCAAAATTTACATATATCCCTACCTATTTTTGTCCAGTATATGTCCCACATGCCCTGCACTCAGTAACCTACACTGTGCATCACAGCATACTTCAGCATTCACGGCTTGCAATCAGGTTCTAGAAATTTCCACACAACAAACTAAATAATATTCACGTCACATTGATCATTCATTTTGTACAAGTCTTGCTTCTGTGTCATGGCGTATCCTGCTGTGACCTTGTGAACTGCCCCAGTGCTAATGGTAACACAGGACCTTAAACAAAATGGCCCAGGTGAGGGCAGTGAAACCAAAATAACAATGAATGATGCAAGCAAGAGTACTGGTATAAATCTATTCATTCTGAAAATAAGTTCATTCTGATTTAAGTTCATGATCTTGATAATATCAATTTGCAGTTAAATCTCCAAGGTAATCAACCACACTGTTCAATTCGACAAACTTCAGAACACATCCTCCGGAGGAGATCTGGATATATCTCCTCACCACGATCTTCCCCAATTAATGAGAAACAAGCAGAAACAAAGTGTCAAGGATTTATCCAACATGCTGAACCCTATTCACAGGTACGAAGGATTTCTCACGGAATACATTCACATACAGCCATTACAAGCTAGCACTGGGTCTAGCTCCACACATGTCCCTATTGATTCACCCTATATAGCAGTAACCATGGTAACAGGGTCTCATATATAAATCTGTGGTCCCTTCATTCAGGTGATAACAAGATTCCACTACATATACACTGTATTAAACTGAGCGCTAATGAAGAACAGGGGGATATCCAGCCACCCAGCACCTCCCTGCCAAACAACTCCTGGGAGAGACAGTCAATGGTCAACACTTGCACGATGGGAGTTCTGAATGTACAATAACGAATCCCGAGTTTCTATAACATGAAGGATGAGCTGTTTCACACAAGACACACGTGACAAACACACATGACGGTTACAACTACAGCAGGCAGAGCTCCTTGGTATATCATCAATTTGGGTCTGGTTTCTGGGAGCCACAAGTCACATCCCTCAGTATATCGTTATCTTGGAAGTGTGAGTCATCACAGGTGACGTTTCACTGTATATGATCAGCTTCATGTAGCTGGAGCACCTGTCAGCTGTTGCATGTTCTTTAGTATTTCTGTTCTTGGCAGCTGTTTGGTGACGGCCCATGGAATGCTGTGACCTGGCATGTCCCCCCATACTGTGATGGCCTAACATGCTGCCAGTATTACTTCCTGGTCACGTGGTCACCATCAGCGTGTACTCTACAGGCTCCTTGACGTCCCTGGATCTCTCAGTACATACCACATGTATCTCTCAGTGTCTCCCCACCAACCACCGCCAGCCATAGGACATGGCACAAGACTGAATCTAAAGCACTGTTATTTCCTGGCTATGCACATGATATAATGGTGTGGGTACTTTGAATAGTGCTACCTTATATGACATCACGTTAGACAAATGGGCCAGTTGTGGCCCCTATATTTAGGGATGATTTCGACAGGGTCGATGCTTGAGAGTAATGAGGTAGTGTATGAATTATTTACATGTGCAGATTGACGGCTGAGATTGGAGACCTTCAGGCCAGGGCATGACTGGGTACCTGGGGGGCTAGGGTATGACTGGGTACCCAGTGGGCATGTGTGAGATAGGTAGCCGCAGCAATCAGCAGGGTTACTGAAACTTCACTGGACTTGTGTTGACGGGTTTATGAAGTATGATGGGATGGGGTGACACGTGGGTGAGTGGTAGTGGATATGCTCCATGGTTTGAGGTACTGGTGGTACACTCGGTCCAGTGACCAGCTGTCCAGCAGACCAAGTATAAAGTGTCTCTTTCACCACATTCTCTTTTTTCAATCCACAGTCTTCAACAAGATCTTGTATTTGTCACTTCCATCATCTGAAAATGATACTCATTGAAATGAATGTTTGATACTGCCTCTCATTTATAGAACAGTCACACATTGCCCCTCCCATCTACTGGAACACTCACACATTGCCCCTCCCATCTACAGGAACAGTCACACATTGCCCCTTCCATCTACAGGAACACTCACACATTGCCCCTCCCATCTACAGGAATAGTCACACATTGCCCCTCCCATCTACTGGAACACTCACACATTGCCCCTCCCATCTACAGGAATAGTCACACATTGCCCCTCCCATCTACTGGAACAGTCACACATTGCCCCACACATCTACAGGAACAGTCACACACTGCCCCTCCCATCTACTGGAACAGTCACACATTGCCCCTCCCATCTACTGGAACAGACACACATTGCCCCTCCCATCTACTGGAACAGACACACATTGCCCCTCACATCTACAGAAACAGTCACACATTGCCCCTCCCATCTACAGGAACAGTCACACATAGCCCCACACATCTACAGGAATAGTCACACATTGCCCCTCCCATCTACTGGAACAGACACACATTGCCCCTCACATCTGTTGGAACAGACAAACATAGCCCCACACATCTACAGGAATAGTCACACATTGCCCCTCCCATCTACTGGAACAGACACACATTGCCCCTCACATCTGTTGGAACAGACAAACATTGCCCCTCATATCTACTGGAACAGTCACACATTGTCCCTCCCATCTACTGGAACAGTCACACATTGTCCCTTCCCATCTACTGGAACAGACACACATTGCCCTTCCCATCTACAGGAACAGTCACACATTGCCCCTCCCATCTACAGAAACAGTCACACATTGCCCCTCACATCTACTGGAACAGACACACATTGCCCCTCCCATCTACAGGAACAGACACACATTGCCCCTCCCATCTGTTGGAATAGACACACATTGCCCCTCCCATCTACTGGAACAGTCACACATTGCCCCTCCCATCTACTGGAACAGTCACACATTGCCCCTCCCATCTATTGGAACAGACACACATTGCCCCTCCCATCTGTTGGAACAATAGCACACTGCCCCTCCCATCTGTTGGAACAATAGCACACTGCCCCTCCCATCTGTTGGAACAATAGCTCATTGCCCCTCACATCTGTTGGAACAATAGCTCATTGCCCCTCACATCTGTTGGAACAATAGCTCATTGCCCCTCACATCTATTGGAACAATAGCACACTGCCCCTCCCATCTGTTGGAACAATAGCACACTAACCCAGAAGGACACGTCGGACGTCCCTGCCATGTGACTGCCACTACAGCAGTTGTGTAAGTCTCACCTTTCATTCCTTCCACAGCAAACCTGGTCTGATCCCCAACATTGTGAATTACCTGCAACAAAATCACCAAAATGTTCCCTCACCACTGGAAAATGATGTGATGCAAATCAAACAGAAAAGCAGAAAAGTAGAAAAGTAAAATCAGACAATGTACACTAGGCTCTGAAGTCTCCCTGACTGATCAGTGAGTATGGTTTACTGTGGCTTTTAGCAAGAGTCTAGCAACATCGTTCTTGGGTGGTGAATTATGAGGAGATACTCCCTGCCATGTTTAGAATGGGACCAGAATTTTGTGACCAAAGTTTAGAGATATAATAACTGGACTCAACGACATAACGTCTCAGCTCCATAGGCCTGGACATCCAGAGATGTTCAAAACATGAAATATGGACAACTGGACAACCGAACAAATGACAGAAATCTTATTCTTTCAAGGCAACAAACTAACAATATTCACTGTAAAACATACAATACTTTAACTCACTTCATCTGTAACGAGTACATGTATTCCAGATGGCCCCTGAATATAAATGTCTCCAATCTGTGATCGCTGAATCCCAAACAACAGTGACAGTTTCTGGCTCAGCTCCATCACAGTCATCGCCTCCAGGTACACTGCATGGTAAACTGCAACATCACCGACAACAACAGAATTAGTACAAGCAACATGATCGTCAGCACCAGAATCAGTACAAGCAACATGATTGTCAGCACCAGAATCAGTACAAGCAACATGATTGTCAGCACCAGAATCAGTACAAGCAACATGATTGTCAGCACCAGAATCAGTACAAGCAACATGATTGTCAGCACCAGAATCAGTACAAGCAACATGATTGTCAGCACCAGAATCAGTACAAGCAACATGATCGTCAGCACCAGAATCAGTACAAGCAACATGACCAGAATCAGTACAAGCAACATGATCGCCAGCACCAGAATCAGTACAAGCAACATGATCAGTACAAGCAACATGAGCACCAGAATCAGTACAAGCAACATGATCGTCGGCACCAGAATCAGTACAAGCAACATGACCAGAATCAGTACAGCACCAGAATCAGTACAAGCAACATGATTGTCAGCACCAGAATCAGTACAAGCAACATGATCGTCAGCACCAGAATCAGTACAAGCAACATGATTCGTCAGCACCAGAATCAGTACAAGCATGAGTCAGCACCAGAATCAGTACAAGCAACATGAATCGTACAAGCAACAGCAGCACCAGAATCAGTACAAGCAACATGATTGTCAGCACCAGAATCAGTACAAGCAACATGATCGTCAGCACCAGAAGTACAAGCAACATGATTGTCAGCACCAGTACAAGCAACATGATTGTCAGCACCAGAATCAGTACAAGCAACATGATCGTCAGCACCAGAATCAGTACAAGCAACATGATCGTCGGCACCAGAATCAGTACAAGCAACATGATTGTCAGCACCAGAATCAGTACAAGCAACATGATCGTCGGCACCAGAATCAGTACAAGCAACATGATTGTCAGCACCAGAATCAGTACAAGCAACATGATCGTCGGCACCAGAATCAGTACAAGCAACATGATCGTCAGCACCAGAATCATCAAGCAACATGATCAAGCAGAATCATGATGATCGTCGGCACCAGAAAGTCAACATGATCGTCAGCACCAGAATCAGTACAAGCAACATGATCGTCGGCACCAGAATCAGTACAAGCAACATGATCGTCAGCACCAGAATCAGTACAAGCAACATGATTGTCAGCACCAGAATCAGTACAAGCAACATGATCGTCGGCACCAGAATCAGTACAAGCAACATGATCGTCGGCACCAGAATCAGTACAAGCAACATGATCGTCGGCACCAGAATCAGTACAAGCAACATGATCGTCAGCACCAGAATCAGTACAAGCAACATGATCGTCAGCACCAGAATCCATACAGGCAGGCAGCAGAATCAGTGTTTCTGTTCAACACTGAACTTAGCATTATTCCCCCTTTAGGTCAGGACTGTAACTGACACACAATCAGCCAAGTCACCCAAAGATCAATCAAGTCGCCTTGTATGACATGCAAGAGTTGCTGGGGACGTAAATTTACCTCGAAATCTCATGGGGTAGAAAAACATGCTGGTATTCAGCTGTACAAAGAATGGTGAATATTGGCATAAACAAGTCTTCAACGGGGAATTAATGTTTATGGAATGATGGTGACATGACAGGAAGATGTCTGACAGAGGTAAAAGCAGTCATGGGTGTGTTCCAATGTTGGCGGCAATGACAAGTGTGTGCTGAATGTTTGGAGAGGCAGTTGCTGAACTTTGGTTTTTGTGAGGGGCAGCTTGTGTCTTCTGATTGGTGGCAGGGTCAAGTTATGTGTTCTGATCACTGGGAGAGGCTGTCAGTGTGTTAAGATTGTGGGAGGACAGTTGGTGTGTTCTGAATGTTGTGAGAAGCAGTTAGTGTGTTCTGAATGATGTGAGAAGCAGTTGGTGTGTTCTGAATGATGTGAGAAGCAGTTGGTGTGTTCTGAATGATGTGAGAAGCAGTTGGTGTGTTCTGAATGTTGGGAGAAGCAGTTGGTGTGTTCTGAATGATGTGAGAAGCAGTTGGTGTGTTCTGAATGTTGTGTGAGAGAAGCAGTTGGTGTGTTCTGAATGATGTGAGAAGCAGTTGGTGTGTTCTGAATGATGTGAGAAGCAGTTGGTGTGTTCTGAATGTTGTGAGAAGCAGTTGGTGTGTTCTGAATGTTGGGAGAAGCAGTTGGAGTGTTCTGAATGATGTGAGAAGCAGTTGGTGTGTTCTGAATGATGTGAGAAGCAGTTGGTGTGTTCTGAAATGATGTGAGTTCTGAATGTTGTGAGAAGCAGTGGAATGATGGAGTGTTCTGAATGATGTGAGAAGCAGTTGGTGTGTTCTGAATGTTGTGAGAAGCAGTTGGTGTGTTCTGAATGTTGTGAGAAGCAGTTGGTGTGTTCTGAATGTTGTGAGAAGCAGTTGGTGTGTTCTGAATGTTGGGAGAAGCAGTTGGTGTGTTCTAAATGATGTGAGAAGCAGTTGGTGTGTTCTGAATGTTGTGAGAAGCAGTTGGTGTGTTCTGAATGTTGTGAGAAGCAGTTGGAGTGTTCTGAATGTTGTGAGAAGCAGTTGGTGTGTTCTGAATGATGTGAGAAGCAGTTGGTGTGTTCTAAATGATGTGAGAAGCAGTTGGTGTGTTCTGAATGTTGTGAGAAGCAGTTGGTGTGTTCTGAATGATGTGAGAAGCAGTTGGTGTGTTCTGAATGTTGGGAGAAGTGGTTGAAGCAGTTGGAGTGTTCTGAATGATGTGAGAAGCAGTTGTTGTGAGAAGCAGTTGTTCTGAGAAATGTGTGTGAATGATGAATGAAGCAGTTGGTGTGTTCTGAATGTTGTGAGAAGCAGTTGGTGTGTTCTGAATGATGTGAGAAGCAGTTGGGTGTGTTCTGAATGTTGTGAGAAGCAGTTGGTGTGTTCTGAATGTTGTGAGAAGCAGTTGGTGTGTTCTGAATGTTGGGAGAAGCAGTTGGTGTGTTCTGAATGTTGGGAGAAGCAGTTGGAGTGTTCTGAATGATGTGAGAAGCAGTTGGTGTGTCCTGATTGTTTGGAGGGCAAAAGTATTTTCAGAGATAAGGGATTTCAGGTGTGTTTCATACTTTACAGAAGCCCAGATGTAAATGAATCAAATGCTCCTTGAAGCACAACAGACTAACATCCCTGGAATATCTCCTGCAGCAGCTTGTGTTGCACGTCTACAATGTTTCCGTTAAAGCCAATAACGGTTAACAATATGGTGGGATCATGATACCATATGCATCTGGATGCTGCCAGTGTGATGTGATTGGTGTATTGATACAGTCCATGTCTTTCACAAGCTGTTATTCTTTATTTGCAGGTGGTTCACAACCACAGAACTTTGTAACTTCCGAGATTAAAGACATAGTCGCGCAGAAACATAAAGCCCTGACGGCATATGTACCACCATATTGTTACACCAGCAAGAGATGGAGATAGAGATGAAGGATGAGGGGAGGCATACCGATGAGCTCACCTGACTCCACTTCCTGGCAGACATAGAGTGTGAGACGCGGCCGCACAGCCCTGTAAACAGCAGTTACACTCACTAACTACAACTGCCTTCAACAGCATGGTTGACGTGTCTGGTAGGCTATTTTAGCACAGTTTGAAATACTAATGAATACCGTATAAGCCAGCCATCTGTATACAATGTGTCTATTTTGCATGAGTTGTGATCAAAGCAACAACCCCAAAACTGGCAGACAACTAAGTTACATTGATTACATTATATTAAAGAGAAGTTACATTGATTACATTATATTAAAGAGAAGATACATTTATTACAGATTGGCTGAGAATGTGGTGAGGGCATTTATACAACAGGAAGCTAAATACTGCGAATACAATACTCTGGATCAGCTATAAAGGCAGTGAATGCAAATACCATTTGCTCCACTAGACATATCTTATCTTTTTTTTTTTTATTCTAGATAATAACAGATTCTGAAACAGATGACGACTGAACAGGCTCGACATTGTTCCTGTATACTCTGAAATAATGAAATTGTTGGTATTTACCTTGACTGAAGAGCATTGTCAAGCCTGATACCATCTGCTAAACCACAGATCTGAATCAAGTCATCTCGACTTAACCGTAATAAATCAGCACCTGTTTAATAAAACAAGCAACAATTCTAAAATATTAACTAACACAGAAACCAAAAGCAAATATGCTTCACAAAATGTTTACTGAAACCAGAGACCATATAATAGAGGGACGGCCCTCTAGCCAGTGCGCAAAACCATCAGCGCTACGGCTTGTACTGCGCAGCCTATCCGGAAGCTGGCAAAAACGTGTGTTGACTTCAGTCATCGATTTCATGTATTTTCATTGCAAAGGTAAGATTTGATTTTTTTCATGTATTCTCATGCCTTTACTTACATTTGCAACAGTGCATTAGAGGTGCTAAAGCATATATTTGTCTTTGTATTTGATGAAAACTGTCATGTGTGCTCGTCGTTCTGTGAGAACAATGGCGGAGGTGTAAAATCGGCAAAAGTCCGATTTATGATTTTCAATAACGGATACTAATTCTCAATGCAAATCCTTAGTTACCGGGGTGTAATGAAAGAAAATAAGATAAAGATTTGTATAGGGGCATTTATAAGTCTGTGGCGTTAGCGTCATTCCTTATTTTGGCTCGTGCAATGCGATGAAATATGATGTTTTCGAAATATTTTACTCCACAACACTTGATTTTATGCGCTTTCACAAGAACAGCTTATTACTAGCATGTTTAAAATAAACATGTGAACATCCATGGCGATTTCCTCTTTTGCGTGGTACACTTTTATATAGCTCACGATCGGTATTTTATTTTTTATGATTTTTGGAGTAAACCCATATTTAAATTCATTATACTGAACATTTCAATTATAATGTAGCAGGCGACATAACATTCATTTTGTTCATTAATATAGCATTGAATATATATTTAAATCATTCTACAAAAGTCTCATTCACCTAATCGTTTGAAAAAAGTACATATTTCCATTATTGTTCATTTTGATGATTATATTTGTGGAAAAGGTCCTTATTTATCATGTAACAATTCATATATTTTTCTGTTATCATTATTCTTCCTACTGAAGTTAGAGTTATATTGCTATATATTATTATATTATTATACAGTACCAGCAGCCTGACTTTATGCAACAATGAATCAAAATTTTATTATCATTACACTATTTATGTAATAAATTATCATTTGTTTGGCAGATGCCCAGGAAAAAGAAAGTTTTCATCGGCAGTCGCCGGAAGGGCTACTCTTCCTCTCTCTCTGACATTCTTATTCATCAGTTCAATCAACTGTTCTCGACGATTGCAGGTAAGTAATAATGGAAGTAAGAAATTCACAAATGATGTCTTTGAAAAAAAATGAGAAATTTTGTGTTGATATTTTGTAGTTATTGGTACTTGTATATCTGGTACCTGCAGAAATAAGTTTAAAATATCAAAGCAATTGTATAATCAAATATTAATATTGTTTCTTTTCTTATGTAAAAACAATGGTATAGTGTAAATTATTAAATACAATATTCCCATCTTGAGTAAGTAACCAGACCTTGTTTGAAAAAGCATTGGCAACAAACTACTGCATAATTTTAACAACTATTTAGAACACTTCAAATTTATTTTTTTAATATTAATATTGTGCAACTCCATTTTCAGTTCAAGAGATGCACTGTGGGACAAAGCATGGAAGTCATTCTTCATTGACCTCACCGATGAACCCACAGATACCCCATGCCTGGAAGAAGCGAAAGAATCTGATGGTTGTTCGGCTGATGAATTCTTTGGGTTTATTTGACACAATTCACCAGTATCATCCGGACAACAATGTAGATGAATTTGTTGATGGCATCCTGCGATACCAGCAATATTTAACATTAAAAAAGGAGCTGTTTCAGCATGTAGATGAGCTAGGCAATTTTACAATTGCAAGAAACAAGCGTGAAAACATTACTATTGTGCAGTTTTATGACTGACGTAGGCTCAGTCCAGCTTTCAGTAGTCATCAAGCCATCCGTTACATCAGCAATATATGCACATCGACGTGACTTTGGCCCAACTCATGAATTCTGGATTGGTTTACCTGCACTTTTCTCCACTCTAAGAGATATGAAGAAACTTTTATCAAAACTGTCTACATACCATGTTTGCGTTGGCAATTATGAAGACAGATTTGCAGACTTGATTCCAGTTGGTGCAGGCATAAGTGAAGGAGCTATTTCAACAATATCTGCCTAATAATTTAACATGTAATAAAGTACATGAGAAGAAATTATGGAAATTAAAGTCCAATGTACAGTTCACTTCATGGATATCTAAAATATCTGTTAATGAAGTTATATCAAGATTGTGTTCAGATTTGTATGGTTTTATGTTTTACATTCACAATCAGTCCTAAATGGACAACATAACTATGCAGGTTGTGTTGCAAGAAGTTTATAAGTTATCATTTTCCCTTATTTTATCATGACTACAATTAATATATTTTTCTGTTATCATTATTCTTCCTAATGAAGTTTGATTATGAGTTTACCTGGGCTTAGACAGTACCTACAACCTGTCTTATGCAACAACAAAAATGAAAAATGAACTCATTATTCAACATTATATTTATATCATAAAATTATCATTTGTTTTGTAGATGCCCAGGAAAAAGAAAGTTTTCATCGGAAGGGCTACTCAAAGAGCCTACTATTAAGTACAATATTCCCATCTTGATTAAGTAGATATACCTTGTTTGAAAAGAGCATTGGCAACCAACTATTGCATAATTTTAATTTCAAATTCAGTTTAGAGTTTATTTGCAACAGTTGAAATTCACATTTACTGTGTTTTAATGAAAAGAATATCTAAATGGTTGAATTTAGTAATACATGATTGTACATATAGATCTATGGTCCTAGTCTACAATAAATACATTGTACATATAAGAGCGTGTGATGTTGTGTTTTAATGTTATTGGTTGCATTTTCCTGCCAAGTTAAAGTTGACACTTTGCTGAAATTTTTTTTAATTGATAGGGTAATGTAGTACAGCCCATTTAACACATATATTTCATGGGCTCGAGGAGGCAAGTGACTTTAGTATTTAGTGGCTTCCCTTGAAAAAAAACCAACAAGTGTCTCCAAAGCGGCCCAAAGCATAATCACTGCTAGCCCCAAACTGGCATTATAAAAACATTAGCAGCTCTTGGAAAATGTGAAATCGTGTTTTCGTTGGGACTATAAACTTTGTAATAAACACCAGTCAGTCACAGGCCCTCGTGTCTTTCGAGGATTCATGATTTTAATAATATTGTTTTGAGATGACACCCCATTTCGAAATGCTTCACGGTACAGTACAATACATAATGACAAGGCGGACACTTCTAGGAGGTGCACCCTACCCGACTGTTAAGCGTTGCCGACCGCTCACGCTACCATCGCATGCTGTCGATTAAAACTTTATGTAAACATAATCATGGATGATTGGCCCTATCGAGCAACACTCATGACACCTACCATGGATGATTCTTTACTCATGACACCTACCAATTCTTTATTGTTATTTCTGCAAGTCGATTGAAAACCAATTTTGACTCTCAACTAAGCGATCTTGACACAAATGGATGCGATATGTCCGCACACAAAGGGGTGTGGTGAAGCAGTCCTCTGATTGGCTAGCAGCTTGCAAATCTGCACATTCTTTATAAATTAGCGGGAATTTTACTTTCATCGAATGCTTGACCACACCCTCGTTTTGTGCCAGCGAATACTTGCAAGTAAATCTTGAGATTAGCCATGTGATGATCGTTTAGCGAGCATGGGGATATTGGCAACTGTAATGTTAAAAGTGCCTTTACCTGACTGGGTTAGTTTGATTTTTGTATTTTTGGTTTATATTCTCTGTCCTGTAAGTAGTCTGTGAATTCCCCAAGTAAGTATCGAGGTCCAAGTCGGAATCATCCCAGTGAATGAATTAAAGTAAGTCCATGGCCATGCCGAATGTTGAAAAGAAATATTCCAGGCTTATGGCGACCGCATTTCATGAATGATACATGTTCTGCGATGTTGTCAGTTGACATGTGCAAATGAGAGATAAGATAAAAATTAAGATTATTGTAATCAGTTTAATGGAGCTGTCTATGTAATGCTGAACTGTCAAAGCGCAGCCGGTGAAATCCCGCTAAGGAATTAACTCTCGGTCCGGATATTACGCAACATTGTTTACGTGGTTACCAGAGTGCTCATTTGCGAATGTCTGCGCATTTGTTGCGCATGTGTACCGGTAGAGGGAAGTTAGCAGCAGGGTGTCGATGTGTATCAGTTACATGCCAGGCCGTAGCGCTGATGGTTAGTGATAAACTGTTGGGGAGGGCCGTCCCTCTATTATATGGTCTCTGCTGAAACCCAATACTGATGCAAATATGTTTAATGTATTTAGAATGAATTTCCATAAATGTGAGCTGATGAGTAGCAGGGTGTACAGGTTTCTATAACGTGGATGATGTAAAGGAGGATGACGTACATGACGGAGTTGAGAGACATACACAACAAGGTTGAGAGATGTACACAAAAACCTACAAGTGACCAAGCAGACACATACATCTGTTTAACAAATTGATCTTGACATTATGTCCAATCCTTACATGACTATATTTAATCTTTCATATAGATAACAAACAGTTCCAACTCATACTGAAAAAGTAAAGGTCAATTTTACCTGAGAAATTTTGAAAAACCCTTGTATAACTTGTGAATCTGTTAAAATGTAGCCATCGAGCCACTTCCTGAGATGTAGAATCCCCTGGCAACGGCTGAAACAAAGAGGAGACACAGCCAGTCAAACCAGATGTCAATAATATAAGCATCACTGCCAGACGACATGCAACCCCACTCAGACATAACAGCCTCCCTCCATCCAAACTTAAGTACAAGTCACAATTCATCTTCTAGTCGTGTCGTACAAGGGGAGCATGGTTTCTGACTGACTAAACAGGGCCAGGAACACTGGTAAGGAAGGCATACATCACATACACTTGCCCCATGTGATGCTGGTTGAAGCTTATTATTCCCATGACTTGTCAAAAGGCTTCTGAAGAATCAGCATTTTTAAATCTCAATAAAACATTTTTTTAAGTCTCAATAAAACAATGATGTATTTCATGGAAAAAGAAAACTATCCACACATACAAGGAAAATATATATTCCTCAAATAACTGACCAATTCCTGGACAATAAGCTGCTAATAACTGTGGACCTACTTACCCCTGTGGTGGTCTGGTCTGCCTCTGGTGTGAGCACCTGTGGGGTGGAGGTGATGATGCGAGAGGGGAGGTGAGTGGGAGGTGATGGCGTTGCAGGTGATGGACTCAGTGGTTGTACCGGCGTCCTGAAGCAAACAACACAACCTTCATGACATGGGCTTTCCTGCTCAAAATTGACAAGCAAATTTCTATAACACTAATCATAGTTCCAGGTAATCCACATCCTTGTGCCCTGTTTTGTATCACCTTATCAGAGCAATTAACACTGAATCAAACTTCCTGAAGTATACTTGCAAACATGATCCCTATTAACAATAGATTATTTTTATCATTTTTGTGGCAGACTATATCTATTATTTTTCAACAGTATGAAACAAAATTAGTTCATTTTCAAGCATGTCCTGGAACAATTTGTTTTTATGTGATAAATCCATTGAGATGCCTCTAACACCATGCAGTTGAGAACTTGGTGTGACCCCAGCTCCCCAAGAGTTTCACGCAAGCCTATTGAGGTACTGACAGTTTGTACTTACGGTGAGTCTGTTGTACTGGGGACGGTTGTGATGGAACACACACTGGGGGAGATGTTGGTAGGGGACTTCAACAACTGCGAAGCCTGTGCTGCCAAAACTTGGTCTAAGGGCACCTGCAGTATCAAAAACAGACCCTGTATCATGCTGCTCCTCTAATATCTAAATACGCATCACTTGTGAGTACACAATGCATCTTAGAAAGTGGTCAAATGTAACATGTTAAGTTTGGGTACCAAAATATATGACCTTAAGGATCACCAATATCTTTGCCTACACTTGGTCTAAGGGCACCAGCAGTATCAACACACACAACTTGTGTCGTACAACTATTTTCATATCTAGATATGTAACATTACTATCTGTCTACACTTGGTCTAAGGGCACCTGCAGTATCAACACACACAACTTGTGTCGTACAACTATTTTCATATCTAGATATGTAACATTACTATCTGTCTACACTTGGTCTAAGGGCACCAGCAGTATCAACACACACAACTTGTGTCGTACAACTATTTTCATATCTAGATATGTAACATTACTATCTGTCTACACTTGGTCTAAGGGCACCTGCAGTATCAACACACACAACTTGTGTCGTTACAACTATTTTCATATCTAGATATGTAACATTACTATCTGTCTACACTTGGTCTAAGGGCACCAGCAGTATCAACACACACAACTTGTGTCGTACAACTATTTTCACATCTAGATATGTAACATTACTATCTGTCTACACTTGGTCTAAGGGCACCTGCAGTATCAACACACACAACTTGTGTCGTACAACTATTTTCATATCTAGATATGTAACATTACTATCTGTCTACACTTGGTCTAAGGGCACCTGCAGTATCAACACACACAACTTGTGTCGTACAACTATTTTCATATCTAGATATGTAACATTACTATCTGTCTACACTTGGTCTAAGGGCACCTGCAGTATCAACACACACAACTTGTGTCGTACAACTATTTTCATATCTAGATATGTAACATTACTATCTGTCTACACTTGGTCTAAGGGCACCTGCAGTATCAACAAACACAACTTGTGTCGTACAACTATTTTCATATCTAGATATGTAACATTACTATCTGTCTACACTTGGTCTAAGGGCACCTGCAGTATCAACACACACAACTTGTGTCAGTACAACTATTTTCATATCTAGATATGTAACATTACTATCTGTCTACACTTGGTCTAAGGGCACCAGCAGTATCAACACACACAACTTGTGGTACAACTATTTTCACATCTAGATATGTAACATTACTATCTGTCTACACTTGGTCTAAGGGCACCTGCAGTATCAACACACACAACTTGTGTCGCATTACACTATTTTCATATCTAGATATGTAACATTACTATCTGTCTACACTTGGTCTAAGGGCACCTGCAGTATCAACACACACAACTTGTGTCGTACAACTATTTTCATATCTAGATATGTTACATTACTATCTGTATACACTTGGTCTAAGGGCACCTGCAGTATCAACACACACAACTTGTGTCGTACAACTATTTTCATATCTAGATATGTTACATTACTATCTGTCTACACTTGGTCTAAGGGCACCTGCAGTATCAACACACACAACTTGTGTCGTATAACTATTTTCATATCTAGATATGTAACATTTACTATCTGTCTACACTTGGTCTAAGGGCACCTGCAGTATCAACACACACAACTTGTGTCGCACAACTATTTTCATCTCTAGATATGTAACATTACTATCTGTCTACACTTGGTCTAAGGGCACCTGCAGTATCAACACACACAACTTGTGTCGTACAACTATTTTCATATCTAGATATGTTACATTACTATCTGTCTACACTTGGTCTAAAGGGCACCTGCAGTATCAACACACACAACTTGTGTCGTATAACTATTTTCATATCTAGATATGTAACATTACTATCTGTCTACACTTGGTCTAAGGGCACCTGCAGTATCAACACACACAACTTGTGTGCATACAACTATTTTCATATCTAGATATGTAACATTACTATCTGTCTACACTTGGTCTAAGGGCACCTGCAGTATCAACAAACACAACTTGTGTCGTATAACTATTTTCATATCTAGATATGTAACATTACTATCTGTCTACACTTGGTCTAAGGGCACCTGCAGTATCAACACACACAACTTGTGTCGTGACAACTATTTTCATATCTAGATATGTAACATTACTATCTGTCTACACTTGGTCTAAGGGCACCAGCAGTATCAACACACACAACTTGTGTCGTACAACTATTTTCACATCTAGATATGTAACATTACTATCTGTCTACACTTGGTCTAAGGGCACCTGCAGTATCAACACACACAACTTGTGTCGCATAACTATTTTCATATCTAGATATGTAACATTACTATCTGTCTACACTTGGTCTAAGGGCACCTGCAGTATCAACACACACAACTTGTGTCGTACAACTATTTTCATATCTAGATATGTTACATTACTATCTGTATACACTTGGTCTAAGGGCACCTGCAGTATCAACACACACAACTTGTGTCGCGTACAACTATTTTCATATCTAGATATGTTACATTACTATCTGTCTACACTTGGTCTAAGGGCACCTGCAGTATCAACACACACAACTTGTGTCAGACAACTATTTTCATATCTAGATATGTAACATTACTATCTGTCTACACTTGGTCTAAGGGCACCTGCAGTATCAACACACACAACTTGTGTCGCATACAACTATTTTCATCTCTAGATATGTAACATTACTATCTGTCTACACTTGGTCTATGGGCACCTGCAGTATCAACACACACAACTTGTGTCGTACAACTATTTTCATATCTAGATATGTTACATTACTATCTGTATACACTTGGTCTAAGGGCACCTGCAGTATCAACACACACAACTTGTGTCGTACAACTATTTTCATATCTAGATATGTAACATTACTATCTGTCTACACTTGGTCTAAGGGCACCTGCAGTATCAACACACACAACACATACCAGTATACTGAAATACACTTCTTTCTGTGTTCCATTACACAGGAAAATAATATAAAACAATATAAAATTTATGTACCCATCATAAAGAAATAAATTTAAAAGAAAAGAAAAAAAGGTTTGTTATTGTTTGTATTGCACAACCTTAAGCAGACACAGAAATGTATAATCAAGTGATGTTTCACTCAACCAAGAAATAATGCACAAGACCAAGCTGAGTAAAATGTACTTTCATACATCTGCACGTGCAATCAGTACAATCAAACACTTCGGCTCTTATAACTCGCGGGGCGGTGGGGTAGCCTAGTGGTTAAAGCGTTGACTCGTCACGCCGAAGACCCGGGTTCGATTCCCCACATGGGCACAATGTGTTATTGTTAAGCCCATTTCTGGTGTCCCCCGCCGTGATATTGCTGGAATATTGCTAAAAGCGGCGGAAAACTGAACTCAGTCAGTCTTATAACTCGCATCGAGTACTGCTGCCCACACCCAGCCATAGAACAGCAATTCCATTGCAGATATAGGATGACCAGAAATTATTGAGAATTTTAGGAATATGTTTAATTGGATTTTTAGTACAAACAACCTCGACCAGCTATCAAGTGCTTGGTTTCATTCAAGACAGACAACTCTGTTAATCCTTTTTCATTAGTTTGGGAAGAGTTATCCCCCTTTGTTTACTTGCTAACAGACAACATTTTCAGTGATGCTCAGTATGGATGACTTAGAGAAGAGGAAGTTGATTTTAGAGTATTATAACAAGGACATCAGACCAGCTAAAGTGATTTCAAGTAGAACAGGCATCCCTTTGTCCACTGTTTATCGTGTTTTGAAAAATATTGCAAATGGATATGGCATTGAGCACCAGGGAGGCGCAGGTAGGCCCAGAAAATTGACTGTCAGTGACAGGAGGCGGCTTGGTATTCTTGTTTCTAAAAACAAACGAAGGAGTTTAGAAAACTTGATATGGTTGACAGTGTGGCTGTCTGTAAGGAGACAATTAGAACTGAGCTGCATGCAATGGGTTGGCAGAAAAAGTCGAGGAATTCCATCACCGATCATGAAACCTCAACAAAAGGAGCGAAGGTTGAACTGGTGCTTACAGCATAGAAATTTTAACTGGGACAATGTGGTTTTCTCAGATGAAAGTTCTGTGTGGCTGTTTCCTAATACACTGAAATTCTTGACCAAACAAACTGAAAACCCTTTGTATCAGCGCCCAAAGTACAGTCCAAAATTTAACGTGTGGGGTGGCATATCTGTGTTAGGGGCAACGCCCCTCTGTGTATTTGAAGGGAATATGAACAGTGAGCGGTACACAGATATTCTCGAGGGACATTTACTTCCATCTGCTCACATGTTCTATGGAAATGTTTTGATTTTCCAGCAGGACAACGACCCAAAACATCATTCAAAGCATTCACAGGCCTGGTTTCGGACCCAAAATATAGTATTTTGTCAAGTCACCATGGGCAGCTATGCAGGCTTCAATGTGGCGGGGCATACTACTGATCAAAGAAGTTAGAAAGTCGTGGTCCATGCTGTCCCAATATTGGACCACCTTTCTTTCATTTCAGCAATATTTGTCAGATTTTTCTTATTGACACTTTCCTTCATAAGTCCCCAAACATTTTCTATTGGATTTAGGTCAGGGCTATAGCTTGGCCAATCTAATAATGTCAACTGTTCACCTGACTTTGAATCTGGAGTTATGTTCTGCTAATATTCACATTTAATACGTGAGTAATGAGTGAAAAAAATTAAAAATTTACAATCCTTAAATTCTCAATAATTTCTGGTTGTACTGTAGATCGCATCGAGTACTGCTGCCCACACCCAACCACAGAACAGCAATTTCATTACAGATAAATCTCTCCAAACATAACAGTAGAGAATTGATATGGAAACTATGACAGTATCTTAAAATGGAAATACGTCTCACTTTGTCTGATTAATTTTTGTTTCAATAATCATGAAAATGTTTAATTTTGTTTAACAACTAGGAGAACCCTCATTTGGAGGATGAAATGACGGCGTAATGTACTTCTTAGTTGCCTGCAGTTGGTAATGTCCTGAATATCAAATTGTCTCAAACTCACCTCTGTAAGAACTGTGCACTCATATGAAGGTTGATATTTTTCCTGTAATTGAACAGAATAGACAGATTGAGTGACTTGTGACAGCAATTTAACATATACATTTAATGATAGCTATGTAATCAAGCATAAATCAGACAAAGGACAATGATGTGACTGTGAGCATGGACCAATGGATAATGATGTGACTGTGAGCATGGACCAATGGATAATGATGTGACTGTGAGCATGGACCAATGGATAATGATGTGACTGTGAGCATGGACCAGACAAAGGATAATGATGTGATTGTGAGCATGGACCAATGGATAATGATGTGGCTGTGAGCATGGACCAGACAATGGATAATGATGTGATTGTGAGCATGGACCAATGGATAATGATGTGACTGTGAGCATGGACCAGACAATGGATAATGATGTGATTGTGAGCATGGACCAATGGATAATGATGTGACTGTGAGCATGGACCAGACAAAGGATAATGATGTGACTGTGAGCATGGACCAATGGATAATGATGTGACTGTGAGCATGGACCAGACAAAGGATAATGATGTGATTGTGAGCATGGACCAATGGATAATGATGTGACTGTGAGCATGGACCAATGGATAATGATGTGACTGTGAGCATGGACCAGACAAAGGATAATGATGTGGCTGTGAGCATGGACCAATGGATAATGATGTGGCTGTGAGCATGGACCAATGGATAATGATGTGACTGTGAGCATGGACCAATGGATAATGATGTGACTGTGAGCATGGACCAATGGATAATGATGTGACTGTGAGCATGGACCAATGGATAATGATGTGACTGTGAGCATGGACCAATGGATAATGATGTGACTGTGAGCATGGACCAATGGATAATGATGTGACTGTGAGCATGGACCAGACAAAGGATAATGATGTGATTGTGAGCATGGACCAATGGATAATGATGTGGCTGTGAGCATGGACCAGACAATGGATAATGATGTGATTGTGAGCATGGACCAATGGATAATGATGTGACTGTGAGCATGGACCAGACAATGGATAATGATGTGATTGTGAGCATGGACCAATGGATAATGATGTGACTGTGAGCATGGACCAGACAAAGGATAATGATGTGACTGTGAGCATGGACCAATGGATAATGATGTGACTGTGAGCATGGACCAGACAAAGGATAATGATGATGTGAGCATGGACCAATGGATAATGATGTGACTGTGAGCATGGACCAATGGATAATGATGTGACTGTGAGCATGGACCAATGGATAATGATGTGACTGTGAGCATGGACCAATGGATAATGATGTGACTGTGAGCATGGACCAGACAATGGATAATGATGTGACTGTGAGCATGGACCAATGGATAATGATGACTGTGAGCATGGACCAGACAAAGGATAATGATGTGATTGTGAGCATGGACCAATGGATAATGATGTGACTGTGAGCATGGACCAGACAATGGATAATGATGTGATGTGTGAGCATGGACCAATGGATAATGATGTGACTGTGAGCATGGACCAGACAAAGGATAATGATGTGACTGTGAGCATGGACCAATGGATAATGATGTGACTGTGAGCATGGACCAGACAATGGATAATGATGTGGACTGTGAGCATGGACAGACCAATGGATAATGATGTGACTGTGAGCATGGACCAAGATAATAATGATGTGATGTGTGAGCATGGACCAATGGATAATGATGTGACTGTGAGCATGGACCAATGGATAATGATGTGACTGTGAGCATGGACCAGACAAAGGATAATGATGTGATTGTGAGCATGGAGCATGGACCAATGGATAATGATGTGACTGTGAGCATGGACCAGACAATGGATAATGATGTGATTGTGAGCATGGACCAATGGATAATGATGTGACTGTGAGCATGGACCAGACAAAGGATAATGATGTGACTGTGAGCATGGACCAATGGATAATGATGTGACTGTGAGCATGGACCAATGGATAATGATGTGACTGTGAGCATGGACCAATGGATAATGATGTGACTGTGAGCATGGACCAATGGATAATGATGTGACTGTGAGCATGGACCAGACAATGGATAATGATGTGACTGTGAGCATGGACCAGACAAAGGATAATGATGTGACTGTGAGCATGGACCAGACAAAGGATAATGATGTGACTGTGAGCATGGACCAGACAAAGGATAATGATGTGACTATGAGCATGGACCAATGGATAATGATGTGACTGTGAGCATGGACCAGACAATGGATAATGATGTGACTGTGAGCATGGACCAGACAAAGGATAATGATGTGATTGTGAGCATGGACCAGACAATGGATAATGATGTGACTGTGAGCATGGACCAGACAAAGGATAATGATGTGGACTGTGACTAATGAGCATGGACCAATGGATAATGATGTGACTGTGAGCATGGACCAGACAAAGGATAATGATGTGACTGTGAGCATGGACCAATGGATAATGATGTGACTGTGAGCATGGACCAGACAATGGATAATGATGTGACTGTGAGCATGGACCAGACAATGGATAATGATGTGACTGTGAGCATGGACCAATGGATAATGATGTGACTGTGAGCATGGACCAGACAAAGGATAATGATGTGACTGTGAGCATGGACCAATGGATAATGATGTGACTGTGAGCATGGACCAGACAAAGGATAATGATGTGACTGATGAGCATGGACCAATGGATAATGATGTGACTGTGAGCATGGACCAGACAATGAGGATAATGATGTGATTGTGAGCATGGACCAATGGATAATGATGTGACTGTGAGCATGGACCAGATGATAATGATGACTGTGAGCATGGACAGACAATGGATAATGATGTGACTGTGAGCATGGACCAATGGATAATGATGTGACTGTGAGCATGGACCAGACAATGGATAATGATGTGACTGTGAGCATGGACCAATGGATAATGATGTGACTGTGAGCATGGACCAATGGATAATGATGTGACTGTGAGCATGGACCAATGGATAATGATGTGACTGTGAGCATGGACCAATGGATAATGATGTGACTGTGAGCATGGACCAATGGATAATGATGTGACTGTGAGCATGGACCAATGGATAATGATGTGACTGTGAGCATGGACCAATGGATAATGATGTGACTGTGAGCATGGACCAGACAATGGATAATGATGTGACTGTGAGCATGGACCAATGGATAATGATGTGACTGTGAGCATGGACCAGACAATGGATAATGATGTGACTGTGAGCATGGACAATGGATAATGATGTGACTGTGAGCATGGACCAATGGATAATGATGTGACTGTGAGCATGGACCAATGGATAATGATGTGACTGTGAGCATGGACCAGACAATGGATAATGATGTGACTGTGAGCATGGACCAATGGATAATGATGTGACTGTGAGCATGGACCAGACAATGGATAATGATGTGACTGTGAGCATGGACCAGACAATGGATAATGATGTGACTGTGAGCATGGACCAGACAATGGATAATGATGACTGTGAGCATGGACAATAATGATGTGACTGAGCATGGACAGACAATGGATAATGATGTGACTGTGAGCATGGACCAGACCAATGGATAATGATGTGACTGTGAGCATGGACCAGACAATGGATAATGATGTGACTGTGAGCATGGACCAACAAATAATGATGATGATTGTGAGCATGGACCAATGGATAATGATAATGATATGTGAGCATGAGCATGGACCAATGGATAATGATGTGACTGTGAGCATGGACCAGACCAATGGATAATGATGTGACTGTGAGCATGGACCAATGGATAATGATGTGACTGTGAGCATGGACCCAATGGATAATGATGACTGTGAGCATGGACCAATGGATAATGATGTGACTGTGAGCATGGACCAGACAATGGATAATGATGTGACTGTGAGCATGGAGCAATGGATAATGATGTGACTGTGAGCATGGACCAGACAATGATGTGATTGTGAGCATGGACCAAGACAATGGATAATGATGACTGTGAGCATGGACCAGACAATGGATAATGATGTGACTGTGAGCATGGACCGTACAATGGATAATGATGTGACTGTGAGCATGGAACAATGGATGATGTGACTGTGAGCATGGACCAGACAATGGATAATGATGTGACTGTGAGAGCATGGACCAATGGATAATGATGTGACTGTGAGCATGGACCAGACAATGGATAATGATGTGACTGTGAGCATGGACCAATGGATAATGATGTGACTGTGAGCATGGACCAATGGATAATGATGTGACTGTGAGCATGGACCAATGGATAATGATGTGACTGTGAGCATGGACCAATGGATAATGATGTGACTGTGAGCATGGACCAATGGATAATGATGACCGTGAGCATGGACCAGACAATGGATAATAATGTGGACGACCAATGGAGCATGGACCAGACAATGGATAATGATGTGACTGTGAGCATGGACAGACAATGGATAATGATGTGACTGTGAGCATGGACCAGACAATGGATAATGATGTGATTGTGAGCATGGACCAATGGAGGAGCATGGATGATGACGACTGTGAGCATGGACCAGACAAAGGATAATGATGTGACTGTGAGCATGGACCAATGGATAATGATGTGACTGTGAGCATGGACCAGACAATGGATAATGATGTGACTGTGAGCATGGACCAATGGATAATGATGTGACTGTGAGCATGGACCAATGGATAATGATGTGACTGTGAGCATGGACCAGACAAAGGATAATGATGTGATTTGTGAGCAGCATGGACCAGATAATGATGTGATTTTGTGAGACCAGACAAAGGAGTGAGAGTGAGTGAGTGAGTTGGGTTTTACACAGCTTTTAGCAAATTCCAGCAGCATCATGATGGGGGACACCAGAAATGGGCTTCAGACATTGTGCCCATGTGGGGAATTGAACCCGGGTCTTCGGTGCGACTAGCAAACACCGACACCACTTGGCTACCCACCGCCCCATCATACAAAGGATAATGCAGTGATTGTGAGCATGGACCAGACAAAGGTTAACACTAGCCTTGGCCAGACCAAGATTTACTGTGTTCTTGGCTCTTGTCCTCTATTCATGGACTGTTCAGACAGATCCCACAAGGTGCTCCCTACTCACTTCTAACTGACCAAAGGTCCTAGAAGAAAAAGTTGCTGGACACTGGTTTCAGGAAATGGTTCAACAAACTATTTACTTTTTCTGCCTCTGACCTCTTCTCCATCTTCTCCCGATCTGTCTTGTGTTTTCTGTCTGCGCCTTTGGGCTGAAAATAGAACCAGACCTGAGTCCAGATGGTGGCATTTACCAGCATAGAATAACAACAGACCCGGTTGCAACAAGGGAGACAACTCTGCATAATGATGCATGAGTCTTCAGACCACTGGGCCACCAATACTTCCTCTATCATAGAATTGATTTGATATGAATTATATTTTTGACATTCATACAGATCAGAGTAACTGAGAGACCATGGTGGCTTGTGAATAATCACATCCTGACCACACAAACACGTGGTTGATATTATGAACATAAAGCAACGCATTCCACCAAGGCATCACTTAAACAAGGCAGCTAAGTGCTGGAGACGTATTCTTTTCTCCCAATGTGGTTAATAGTGTTGATGCCTCACCTTAAAGACTTTAACTTGACAGGAAGCACAATGTAATAACTTTGAATCGGGTCCATTGGAGTAAGTTTCGACCTGTATCCTGAAGGGGACGCCCTTCTCTCCACCATGTTTTTTAGCTGTGAACTCTGTGCTGATACAGTGGACCCTGATGTACACCCCGGTCTCCTTCGTCGGGTCCCAAATAAACTCCGTCTGATTCAACCGAATAGCATCCAGATTCATATCGATCAACGCATATGAGAGAGGAACGTCTGAAATGAAACCAAATGAGTGAGTGAGTTGGACATGAAGAGGAACACATTTTATGGATAGACAGTGGATGTACAGTGGATGCGACGTTTCGGTGTAGATGCTAACACTGTTATCAGGCAAATGATGGTGTTAGGATCTCCACCGAAACATCGCATCAGCAGCAATAAAGAAGTTGTCTATCCATAAAATGTGTTCCTCTTCATCACACCAGCTTCTATATGCCACTCAAGGAAGTGAGTTGGACACGTAAGACAAAAGTTAATGGGTGAAGGAGGATGGTTTTACACTGCTTATACCAATGTTCCAGCTAGTTCCATTCCTGGAGCTAACACTCAGTTGGCCGTAACACCAGACATACTTATCTATTAATGGTTTCACATGCAGTGCACTGTACTGAAGGGGAGACAACCCACCAATATCTAGAATTCTCTCCCCTGGTCTGTTTCTCTTCCAGGCTTCGATCTGTTCTCTCTCCATGTACTGTAACCGGCGCTCATGGAACAGCACCTTAACCTGGCTCTGTAAAATCATGTTAAATATTGTGTTTTATTTGAATCAATCAAGTTCAAGGAATTTCTGAAGACAGATAAAGAAATGACTTGACTTAAAGATTTTCACGTCTGCTATTCCTTCAATGAGACATTCAGGTACAGATGTTAGTTTGCTTAAGAATCACTTGCTTCAGTTTCTAGAATACAGAGATTTGAAATCTGTGTCAAGCCTGTTTCAACATAAATGAAACATGGGTCAGAAACCATTTATTATGGCCAAAAAAGTTAGTTTCTTACTCTGAGGAATTTTCCTTGGTATTCAGACAAATCTCCCAATTTCTTCAACTTGATCTCATAAGACTGGCCTGAAACAAACACACAGTACAATGTTTACAGCTGATGCTGATGTTGCAATACTTACAGGTATATGTCATGAAATAACAATGATGATGGCAGAATAATATACAGCTAATGTTTCACACCATCAAGTAATATACAGCTAGTGTTTCACACCATCAAGTAATATTCAGCTATTGTTTCACACCATCAAGTAATATACAGCTAGTGTTTCACACCAACAAGTAATATTCAGCTAATGTTTCACACCAACAAGTAATATACAGCTAGTGTTTCACACCATCAAGTAATATTCAGCTAATGTTTCACACCAACAAGTAATATTCAGCTAATGTTTCACACCATCAAGTAATATTCAGCTAATGTTTCACACCATCAAGTAATATTCAGCTAATGTTTCACACCATCAAGTAATATTCAGCTAATGTTTCACACCATCAAGTAATATTCAGCTGTTTCACACCATCAAGTAATATTCAGCTAATGTTTCACACCATCAAGTAATATTCAGCTAATGTTTCACACCATCAAGTAATATACAGCTAATGTGTCACACCATCAAGTAATATTCAGCTAATGTTTCACACCATCAAGTAATATTCAGCTAATGTTTCACACCATCAAGTAATATTCAGCCAATGTTTCACACCATCAAGTAATATTCAGCTAATGTTTCACACCATCAAGTAATATTCAGCTAATGTTTAACACCATCAAGTCATATTCAGCTAATGTTTCACACCATCAAGTCATATTCAGCTAATGTTTCACACCATCAAGTCATATTCAGCTAATGTTTCACACCATCAAGTAATATACAGCTAATGTTTCACACCATCAAGTTATATACAGCTAATGTTTCACACCATCAAGTAATATACAGCTAATGTTTCACACCATCAAGTAATATTCAGCTGATGTTTCACACCATCAAGTAATATACAGCTAATGTTTCACACCATCAAGTCATATTCAGCTAATGTTTCACACCACCAAGTAATATACAGCTAATGCTTCACACCTTCAAGTAATATTCAGCTAATGTTTCACACCATCAAGTAATATTCAGCTGATGTTTCACACCATCAAGTAATATACAGCTAATGTTTCACACCATCAAGTAATATACAGCTAATGTTTCACACCATCAAGTAATATTCAGCCAATGTTTCACACCATCAAGTAATATTCAGCTAATGTTTCACACCATCAAGTCATATTCAGCTAATGTTTCACACCATCAAGTAATATTCAGCTAATGTTTCACACCATCAAGTAATATTCAGCTAATGTTTCACACCATCAAGTAATATTCAGCTAATGTTTCACACCATCAAGTAATATTCAGCTAATGTTTCACACCATCAATAGCTTCATGCAACTTACCCTGATTCAGATAGGTCAGAGTCTCTTCATTCATCTTTACAGCTGGTGAAGTTGCAGCACCAAGAATATACTGAAACCTGCCAACATAAATTTATCATCCAAAACTGTGTTCCACAGGAGATATCACTTGTGTGAGATCATATGGTATCTCCTAGGAGATATCGTTTTGACAGTAGATTTTGTACAATGCCCTGACAATGCTATGACATCATCAACTTGATGGATGATGTCACAATGCTATGACATCACTGTACTGCAAGTCTAATGGTAGTACAGTGTTGAGAGATGTACATTTTTCATTGAAAACTAATGAAGAATGATTTTTGATGATAAATAGAATCTCACCCTCGTGTCTACTGATATCAATTATATCAACACTCGTTGATAAAGGTAAAAATATCCTCGGCAAGCCTCGGATATTTGTAACTTTATCAACTCATGTTGATATAATTGATATCAGCAGACACGAGGGTGAGATTCTCTATATACATCCAATCTTACATCAGATTTGACCTGTGAGAAAGGTTTTACACTAATTCATGACACTCACCCAGAATGGACCCTGTCCAATGCAGCAACCACACGAACATGTAGGAAAGCATAAACAGCTGATCTTTCACTGTTGATTTTCTATAGCCTTAGATATGTAATAAACAACCACCTTGTTTCACATATCATAAACTTTGTTTTGTGGCAACATGTAACCTCATATGAAACACAACCACCTTAACGTCATGTCCCTAGATGGTAGAAACACCTACTCCAATGCCCACAGTTGTGTGATTATGAATGGCATACAGGTTATGTCCTCTCACATGAGAGAAGTATCCCGTTAATTAGGTCACCATGATACATCTGGCAGTCATTCGCTGCTAGTACTGTTATGAGATCTAGTAACAGACTATCAAAAGTTATTTTTTTCAGAAACTGATGTTACAAAAATGCTTTGAAAATCATAAACTTACCCGCTTTCAAGATTTTCTTGTTTGAACACTGGAAGAGCCAGCAGAGCTTCGCTGGAACAAAACATGGTGTGTGGAGTAAGTATATGAGCTTGCTGTGCTTGTTCAACTGTTACTAAGTGAATGGAATGTGTGATTGAGAACATCATTTTAGAAACTGCTATAAGTTATCCTTGAACAACAAAATGTAAAACTGAGCGGAAACTGTTCAGACACCACACTAGTCAGATTCTATCTGGTACAGACACCACACTAGTCAGATTCTATCTGGTACAGACACCACACTAGTCAGATTCTATCTGGTACAGACACCACACTAGTCAGATTCTATCTGGTACAGACACCACACTAGTCAGATTCTATCTGGTACACTGATCAGGACATTCCACAGAGAAGTCAGTTCTAGTGTGAGTGAGTGAGTTTGGCTATACAACACTCACAGTTGTACTCAATACAGCAACAAACATGTCAACTCCATTCCACAGGAAATGTGAGAAGACTGAGGGCCAGACAATCTGTTTTATCATCGATACATGAGTGAGGTGAGGTGAGGTGAGGTGAGGTGAGGTGAGGAGGTGAGGTGAGGTGAGGTGAGGTGAGGTGAGGTGAGGTGAGGTGGGGTGGGGTGACGCTCTAACCACTACACCACGGAGGCGGTCAAGAGAGTATGGCATTACACTACTTAGTAACATGCCAGCAATATCATCACACTTGTTCTGGGTTTTATACATTGAACCCATACGGGGAATTCTGGCATGAGGTGAGCACACTTCAAACACGGGGACAGAAAGGCAATGTTTTTCAAAAAGTGACATTGGGAAACAGACAGACAAATTAGGCATGCCCTCACATAACGTCACAACAATGACATAATTTCAATTTATTGTTTGATAAATCACTTAACATCATGTACATGTGTTAACTGGAGAGCTGGATTTCATGAACACTGTCATGACTGCAAGAACAGTTCCGCTTCATTTGTCCGGGACCCACATCCTAACCCACAAACTAGGTCATCATCCAAGCATTATTTCCGTTTATGTGCACCTGCATTCATAATCATGATAATGACCACACCCATTTTCCATTACACGAGACATGGTGAGTACATTTTCATAATTTTAGTCATACTGCAAGAGCACATTGAAATATTTCATCCACATGCCATGACATGCAACTTGAGCACTATTTCGATCCCTGAAGCAGTACACTATCCTACAACCGCTATCATCAATATGGAGTTACTGCTGAGTCAAGGCCAGTCTGTGTTTCAAGTATCTGCTCTACTCATCCGATACCCCATGAGATTTATCTCACGAGTAGCATTACTGGGCAAGCTTATGGCTTACTGCATGAATTTCTCTTTGTTTATTGTTGATATTCTACTTCTAGAATCTGCACAGAGGGAATTCCAGGTAAGAAAGTTTGTAGTTGATTGAAAAATAAGTCAGAAATATAGTTGCAAGCAACATTGAGGGCTCCTTGGCTTTAGTTCTATCTAGCCGATTGTGTCTGTCACATATCTGATGAAAGTAGTAATAGCTTTAGTTAATATGAATCATATCACTGCTAGTCGAATGCTCTTCGACTGGAAGTACTGGAAGGTCTTTAAGTTTCGATAAATTCATCACAAAACCATTTTTCTTAGATTAGAAAATATCACTTGGGTATCATGAATCTCAAAACAGAAGAACCCTTTGTTCAAACATCTATCTTAATTACCGCTAACAATCATGAAGAAGATATGTACCAAACGATGATACTTTTCACATGCACTGTAGAACAGAAACTGATCAGCTAACGTTTGAGATACATACGGCTAACTTTCATTGTGTTCTCTAGAGAACCGATGAGTGAGTGAGTGAGTGAGTTATTATTTAACGTCACATCGGCAATATTTCAGCCATATCGTGACGACGAGAACCGATGAAGATAGCAAGTGTGGAAAATTTAATTTCACTCTGTTGTCTTTGAAGATACATTACTGCAATCGGTAGTTAAAAATCTACACTAGTAGCCCACTTGTACAGGTACATTTTGGTCGAAATCGGACGGTTGGTTTCAGAGTTACGGGTGTTTGAATTGTATTTGAGGGCTAGAAATCGTTCAAAATGGAGCCAGAAGCCGTTTTTGACAGGCGAGCGGATCTTCCAAATACAGCCGGGGTCGTGGGGGTCATGTTCCTTTTAAGAAGTTCTGGAGAAGAAATAGTTCCCTCTTTAAAAGGCGGTATCTCAGTTGTTCTTTGGTCTACGGTCAAAACAGATAGTGTTCTAGAATCACCAAGACTTCATCTATCATACTGGCACTTTTTGTGCAGAATTTGCACAATGGTTACTGGACATCAGTTATGGAAAGTTTGGAATGTCTAGAGCTGACGGTTTGAGCTCAGCACATTTTTGGAGCAAACTACTCGGAAAACTGCTGAAAAACATGGCCAAAAACTGAAAACAAAAATAACTGCAAAACGGTACATTTTAGCGACTTGACCCATCCGATTGTGCATCTGTACAAGAGATTTGGAAGTGTTGGAACAATTAGTTCTTGAGATATTTGCTGTCAAACTTTGAAATTTGGAATTAATTTTGAATTATCTCCCCTTTGCTATTGGGCCTAGAGCCTAGAGATTTTTAAGGGGAATATCTACACCTCGGTGGGCATCTGTGGGATTTTTTGTAAGCGATTCGGAGCATTGGTTTAGGAGGTATGTTTGGTACAAAAATCGGCTGAATAATAAATAATAATAAAAATTATCTAAATGATTACAATAGGTCTGTCCTGCCTAGAGGCAAGGAGCCCTAAATACAAAAATTATTCCAAAATCTGGAAGAGGGTTTGTCCGATTACAGTGTAATTGCTATAATTATCCGCCTGCAGGTTAACATCTTGTTCAAATTCCTTGTTATGTTTGTAATAATTAAAATGTTTTTTCCATGTGAAGAAAGAATGTGGAGATCCAACCTGTGACTTAAGCAACTTGTCTGGAACTGGAGTCTCGTAAACTCTCATAACATTCCATGAGATAACATGGGCCTCTACATGCTTCAAGCCTGTATAACCATTACATGCTAACACAGTTTATCACAGACTACAGTGGGGATGTAACCTAGTGTAATGTTCTGATTCCTTACCTCATGTTGTAGCTAGAAGTCCCCAGCTCTGTTCCCAAGCCCGACAGGGATCCGTCAAAGTCTGCAGCAAGTCCGCCATCGATGTCCCACGAGCTGAGGCTGGTGGTAGTGGTGGTGGTGCTTGGGGTGGAGTGGGAGCTGATGTGGGACGTCTTGGTCCTCTTCCCTGCCCCCGCCCCTGTCTCGTCATTCCAGGTGAAGGACAGCGCATGGGGTGTCCTAAAATAGACAGATAGACCTAAATGGGGTGTCCTGGAACAGACAAACACACCTACATGGGGTGTCCTGGAACAGACAGACAGACCTACAAGGGGTCTCCTAAAACAGACAGACAGACCTACAAGGGGTGTCATGGAACAGACAGACAGACCTACAAGGGGTCTCCTAAAACAGACAGACAGACCTACAAGGGGTGTCATGGAACACAGACAGCACTACATGGGGTGTCCTAGAACAGACAGACCTAGGTTGGGGTGTCCTGGAACAGGCAGATGTTTTTTGAACAGACAAAACTACAAGGGGTGTCCTGAAACAAACCTACATATGGTGTCATGGAACACAGACAAACCTACATGAGGTGTCCTGGAACAGACAAACCTACCTGGGGTGTCCAGGAAAAGACAGACCTACATGGGGTGTTTTGGAACAGACATACCTACATGGGGTATCCTAGAACTGACAGCCGCCCTACACAGGATGTCCTGGAACAGACAGACCTACATAGGGTGTTTTTTAACAGACAAACCGACAAGGGGTGTCCTGGAACAAACCTACATGGGGTGTCCTGGAAAAGACAGACAGACCTACATGGGGTGTCCTGGAAAAGACAGACAGACCTACATGGGGTGTCCTGGAACAGACAGACCTACATGGGGTGTCATGGAACAGACAGACCTACATGGGGTGTCATGGAACACAGACAGACCTACATGAGGTGTCCTGGAACAGACAAACCTACAAGGGGTGTCCTAGAAAAAACAGACCTACATGGGGTGTTTTGGAACAGACATACCTACATGGGGTGTCCTAGAACAGACAGCCCGCCCTACACAGGATGTCCTGGAACAGACAGACCTACATAGGGTGTTTTTTAACACACAAAACTACACGAGGGTGTCCTGGAACAGGCAAACCTACATGGGGTGTTCTGGAACAGAAAAACCTACAAGGGGTGTCCTGGAACAGACAAACCTACATGAGGTGTTTCTTGAACAGACGAAACTACAAGAGGTGTTTTTTAAACTAACCCACAAGGGGTGTGCTGGAACAAACCTACACGGGGTGTCATGGAACACAGACAGACCTACATGAGGTGTCCTGGAACAGACAAACCTACCTGGGGTGTCCAGGAAAAGACAGACCTACATGGGGTGTTTTGGAACAGACATACCTACATGGGGTATCCTAGAACAGACAGCCGCCCTACACAGGATGTCCTGGAACAGACAGACCTACATAGGGTGATTTTTAACAGACAAAACTACACGGGTGTCCTGGAACAGGCAAACCTACATGGGGTGTTCCTTGTCCTGGAACAGACAAACCTACATGAGGTGTTTCTTGAACAGACGAAACTACAAGAGGTGTTTTTTAAACTAACCCACAAGGGGTGTGCTGGAACAAACCTACACGGGGTGTCATGGAACACAGACAGACCTACATGAGGTGTCCTGGAACAGACAAACCTACCTGGGGTGTCCAGGAAAAGACAGACCTACATGGGGTGTTTTGGAACAGACATACCTACATGGGGTATCCTAGAACAGACAGCCGCCCTACACAGGATGTCCTGGAACAGACAGACCTACATAGGGTTTTTTTTTAACAGACAAAACTACAAGGGGTGTTTTGTGAACAGACACACCCACAAGGAGTGTCCTGGAATAGACAGACCTACATGGGGTGTCCTCAAACAGACAGACCTACATGGGGTGTCAGGGAACAGACAAACCTACATGGGATGTCCTGGAACAGACAGACGTACATGGGGTTTCCTGGAACACAGACAGACGTACATGGGGTTTCCTGGAACAGACAGACCTACATGGGGTGTCCGGGAACACACAAACCTACATGGGATGTCCTGGAACAGACAGACGTACATGGGGTTTCCTGGAACAAAGACAGACCTACATGGGGTGTCCTGGAACATGACCTTCACAATAGCCATGAGGCCAGTGGAGTTCAGTTTGGTCAAAAAAGCTTTGCTAATAGTAATCAAAATAATATTACTAAAAAATATTTAGGAGCCTTGTGTTGGGACTTATAGTAACGGGAAGATCAAAACTGTAGCATCACAGGACCTACAGTTTCAGGGCCCAAGTTGAATATACGTGAACTGTACAGCCCATGAACGCCAAAAGTCAGTGAACACTTGTTGATGGCATCAGTCTCGTTCTTACCAGTGGAGGTGGTGCTCCATACCGTTTGGGGCGAACCCCCACAACAGACGATCCATCAAAGTGGGATCTGACCCAACGTAGCTCAACACTTGACATCGTAAACCAAGGCGCAGGTGAACTGGGACACACTCATGACAAACAAGGAACCTGCTCATTCATTAATGAACACCGACATTAGATCCACCTTGGATTACAGAAATGCTTTCTGGTCACACAAACAAACCTGTCTTCTTGACTTAGAATGTTAGAAGCATTACAAGTATATCATTACTCATCTCACATGTTACTTTTTTTAAATTTATTTCCGGTTGTGGATATCCCCTCAACATCACAGTATCCTGTACAATAACATCGGGGTCACACAGGTCAGTATCCTGTACAATAACGCCGGGTCACACAGGCCAGTATCCTGTACAATAACGTCGGGGTCACACAGGCCAGTATCCTGTACAATAACATCGGGGTCACACAGGCCAGTATCCTGTACAATAACGTCGGGGTCACACAGGCCAGTATCCTGTACAATAACGTCGGGGTCACACAGGCCAGTATCCTGTACAATAACGTCGGGGTTACACAGGTCAGTATCCTGTACAATAACGTCGGGGTCACACAGGCCAGTATCATGTACAATAACGTCGGGGTCACACAGGCCAGAGAGATGAGCAGTATTTTGGGACAAAAGACAAGAAATCAGTGAATCTCAACAGAGAAGTGGAAACATTCACCAGCTTAGCAGCGTAACACCATCTAAAATACTCTTGTGGTCTGAGTTGGCCGCAATTAGGAGCCCATTACGGGTTGTCGGCTTATGTACGAGACATACCATTTTGACATTGATTTTAAGGGTCAATTTAGGGGGTCGGCTTATCTATGAGATCGGCTTATCTACGATAACATACAGTAATCATTAACTTCTGTGAGATAACTATTGTTGTTTTTGTCTTGTTTGGTGTCTAAAATTGTGCTCAGAAATATTCCAGTTCAAATCTCAGGATTTGAAGCCCGAGAGTTTTAATAGATACAAAATACCTATCTGTAGTGTTTATTGTAGGCTTAGTCTGTGTGCCATTTGTGCACTAAAATGTCATATGACATACTGTACAAGTATGGGCAGGTACCATAAACACATTTATTGAGTTTGTTTTCGCTTGGCAACTCAATACTAAGAAGGTCTTTGTTGAAATACAGTTAACGTTACCTTCCCTAACCGAAGCAAGCAGACGATTTGAAACCAACATTACAAGTCCTCTAGTTTTATGGGTTTCCAGACACTTCAGAAAATCCCTTGTTTTCAGGATTATTGCATGAACAATTATAAAACATGTCACTTACTTATTGAAGACAACTTTGTCTTAAACACAAGCCATCATCTGAGTATTTACCTCTGTGTGATGCAAGCCGCCAGAGTAAACTGACTGACTGACTGAGTTTAGTTTTACACCGCTTTTAGCAATATTCCAGCAATATCACGGTGGGGGGACACCAGAAATGTGCTTAACACATTGTGCCCATGTGGGGAATCGAACCTGGGTCTTTGGCGTGACGAGCCAACGCTTTAACCACTAGGCTACCCCACCACCCCGCAAGAGTAAATATAGTCACATGAAAATGTCTGAAAAATAATCTAATGATACACACACATATAAGTCACTGTCAGATTGATTATAATGATAAGAACACTGCTAAGATTTTAAGAGTCCAATAAAGTTGTTTCAAAGGTTTCAGGGTGAATACTCAGTAGTGGTGTTCCAATGATCGATTATAATCAATAATTGATTGGTTACCCTTTTCCGATGCGATAATCGATTGCAAAATTTCATAACCGATTGTCGCTAATATGAACACCCAACTCACACCACAAGACAACTGGCAGTCACCAATAATTATAACTTCTATCCGCATTATTCACAGAAATCACAATCATATTGCGTCTACTCACGCCTCGAAATGAAGTGTAGTTGACAGAAAATGGATACGCATATATATATATATATTGCTTTGCTAAATGTCATATTTATTGTAGCTGGCGATCACAACAAACTGGCATGTGTATTTCACCTCATTTCATGACCGTACAACTTTAGCTTACCATGTTCATGAGGGTACGCTTTTCACTCCAACCGCGATAGCACCAATTTCAGTTTCAGATTATTCTCAACAATCACGAACAGATTACCGCCTCGTCATCCATCGAGGCCCTAGTTTATAGTAACATCAGTGAAAACGTGTGAAATGGCAGTCATATTTTACCTCATTCCATGTGCATTCAACTTTCACTTACGATGTTCGTGACGGTCCTTAGTATTGATTATACATCTTTTACATATTATATAGAGCAAAACCTGTAAGTAAAATTTCACAATGCTAGGAGTAGGATATATTTCTCTTGGTAAAATAATAGTTTTAGATATTATATTTTATCGATCACTGCGGCAGAATTCATCCCATTATATTATTGGGTATGTTTTAACTAGATCACTGGGAAACGTGTGCACAGCTGATGGCTATTTCCGGCTTTACATATGAGACAAATCAAATGGTAATCTTATTCCCTGCATATAATACAATGCCTAGCAAAACAAATTAGAACTGAAAAGGTAAACATTCTTGTCCAGTGATGTTTAATTGCAATTTGAAATTTGACGTCTTTACTGACAAAGTCGTCTTCTCTTAAAATACACAATGCCATTTTAGCAAGTGGTCAAATGTAACATATGTTATATTTGGGATTACACTTTCTTAGTAAAGTACAGATTCTAGTACTTTTGGGGTTGAGACCCACCCAGGATTCGAACCCACACCTTCAGAGTCAGG